ACCTCTAGGATATTTGCTTCATATGTAAACCGTAAATTGTTGGAAACTGACAATTACATAACTTAATGACAAAAGTTGTGCGTCAGCAAGTTGATAACTTCCCTTTGTTGTGTGTTCTCTTCTAAATGTGTTCATTATTTATTTTTATTATTATTTTAGCAAATTATACATGCACTTGTCATCTTAAAGTCTTGCACAATGTAAGAACCATGTTTTTATAGTTATAGGCAAAAGCAATCTGTTTCCCTAGTTCCCCTTAGTCATATGCTTTTCTTACAATATTTTTATAGTTATAGCAAAAGCAATCTCTTTCCCGATTTCCCCTTGGTCATATGCTTTCTTTTCATGTTATAGTAATGCTATAAAATGTAATTTATTACTGCACTCTTTGAACATTAGCGCTTGGGGAGATAGAGTTTGTTATTTATAAGCATCCTGGTGTAAGAATGCCTCATTGAATATTAGCCTCATCAAGGGGGAATGCTGACTATCAGACTTTTGGCTTTCAACGTCTGATAGTGGTAACTGAAAGGGAGTTCGTTTATTAATGCTTTAACTTTTTCAGCCTTTTACCCGTCCAAATCAAAAAAGAAATGGGGATGGAAACACAAAAGCTAATTCTAGAAGACCAAAATGATAGATATTACTAGTGTTCTTGTTGTTGTTGGCTTGTCCAGTTAAATATGTGTTTATGCATGCAGGAGCGCAAACCAGAGCTAACCTCTGAGGTCATGGCATTCAGGGATTCTCTGTTGTCGTCTACAATTTCTGATACACTAGATGTATGGGAACTGAAAGGTAATTCTATTATTGTGGTTCAAGATTCATAAGATGAGAGATTCAAGCAGGGACTATATTTACTTATATTTGTCCCTGCACTGACAGATTTAGGACATCAAACCGCACAGAGGATAGTGCATGCCTCTGATCCTTTGCAGGCAATGCAAGAAATCAATCAGAATTTTCCCAGTGTTGTCTCTTCTCTGTCTCGTATGAAGGTATGCTATATTCGTGCAGCTACTGTTGCATACTGATATAGGATTATAAATTGTGGGTACTTCAATGTCGCTTCATCAAATATAAAATGTTATTATGTTGGTTAATTTGTATAGCTTTCTTTTTGCAGCTAAATGATTCCATAAAAGATGAAATTATTGCGAACCAGCGAATGATTCCTCCTGGCAAGTCTTTATTGGCTCTGAATGGTGCCTTACTCAATGTCGAAGATATTGACCTTTACCTGTAATGCTTCTTTCCCATACATCATTTCTATTTCCTTTTTGTCCTTACTTTCTGGTAACTCTATATCTGCGCCTTGTTGGGGAAAAAATAGAAAAGTCCCTTATATTGATTAAACTTCATTAATTCATGTTGAGGAAGCTGGATTGAAGAAATTGAGAATATAACTGGAATTAGATAAGCTTGAGTGTTACAATAGGTTTCAGATGAATCATAAATACCATGATCTTCTTGGCAGAATTAAAACTTGCCCCGTTTCCCATGATACAGCTTTCTGCAAGGTGTTCCAGATGAGGGCCAATAAAGTTGACCTCACGAAACATTTGATTTTATCATGTTTCTCTTGAGCTTCACATGTTACTATCTTGTCTATTTTCTTGTTTGAAGTTTGATTCTTATTTAGATGCATCCAGGCATATCTGTCTGCATTTTGTATGTGTTGTAGAAGAAAAATCGGTTTCTCCATTTATCCTGCCCCTGTAGAATATCTAACTTTACTATTTTGTTTAGACAGAGACTTGTTACTTATCTTGGTTCCATTCTTTAAATGAGTTATTGTTGCCATCTTTTATCATTATCACGAAAAACCTACACCACCATGATAAGCAATTGGTGTAACTATTGTTTGTAATTTCTGTCCTTGTCATCTCTATCTCCATCTACCCAAGATGCCATTTCAACTTTTTTCTCCTTCTCATAACCATTTTTTTTCTTTCTCTACATAAATCCTATTGAATTCTCTGAGAGTGTTAAATGGATGACTAGAAAAAATAATAAAGTTACGTTTAACAGAATTATCTAGTTTCCTGTGTTTAACCATATGAATCTGCTTTTTAAAAGAGGTAAGACATGGAAAATTCAAAACAAAAATACATGAGGGAGAAGTTAAACATGATATCTACTGCATCTTCTTTATATAAAAAATTACTATCTACCTAACTGTTGTAATGATTGCTCAAACTTTATTTGGTGCTTATATTCTAACCTGAAAAAACTCATTGCTTAATGATGATATTTTCATTGTGCAATTTCCAGGTTGGTTGACATGGTTCATCAGGAATTGTCTTTGGCAGATCAGTTCAAGAAATTGATGGTATGGGATTCTCGAAATTCCCTTACATCTATTTAGGGAAAGAACTTCTGCAATCTTGTTAAGTTTATGCTGTTGTGATTACTCATGGAGCCCAATTTGGAAAAATTCATATGGGTTCAAGGTGCTTCTTGAGCAGTGTCTTAAATTAGATTTTAGGGTTTAACGAGTCAATATAGAACCTCACTTGAACAGAAACAACCTCCCTTAGATATGGGTACACTTGATACTATAGTATTGAATTTTGTGGTAGATGTTATTGCCTAAAATTCTGACTTATCTCAGGAAGATTTTCTGTTCATTATTTATTTCCATCAAGATTTACAGTTTTGTATGCCTATTTAATAAGGAAGTGTGATAATTGGTGTTGACTAGGACCTTTGTGGTAGCTCATGAGTTTATAAAAATCTAAAGCTAATTTTTTTTCCCAGTGTGTTGCCTTCCCTGTTACTAATTGCTAGGTCTGCAATCAGTCAAATCTTATTTATGTTTCCAGCTGCGAAAAATCCTACTAATCTAGTTTCATAATCATGAATATCGGTGAGAAATAAATTGTACAAGAGTAATGATTGCTATGTGCTTTTCCTTTACTTCTAAATCTGCTAACCATTTCATGGTTCGCTCTAATTTGTCCTCTTTTCTGTGCATCAGCGAGCCTTGTACATTTTCTATAATATTGAGTTTTGTTGCATTTATTGATTTGAAAATATATACTTGTAGAGATGATGGGCAATGCCACACTGTTATTTGGTTACGGCATTGTTCCTTTTAAGATTTAATCTCATCTGTAGACGGGAATTTATTAGATGTTAAGTCTGATACTTTATGTTGATATTTTAGATTTATTGGTATTTTCTGAATGGTAATGCTGATTCTCAATTTTGATGATACCCTAGATTCCTCCTAATTCCGTGAGGAGATTCCTTTCAGTTTTGCCCCCTTCAGAGTCATATGCATTTCGTGTTGATTTCCGTTCCTCCAATGTTCACTACCTCAATAACTTGGAAGTTGATGCCATGTACAAGCGTTGGAGAAGCAACTTGAATGAGGTACATAAAATTAGTTTTCTTTATTAAGTGTATGCACCAATGAAAATTCAGGCTCCTTAATGTTTTTTGCATTTTTGGTCATAGCTATTGATGCCGGTTTTCCCTGGACAATTACGTTATATTCGTAAGAACCTGTTCCATGCAGTTTATGTTCTGGATCCAGCTACTCTTTGTGGTCTTGAGGCAAGTTTTATATTCTCTATAGTCACCTCCAGCTTTCAGTTAATACTGTTTCTTAATCATCTCTGATGCCTCTGGAATCAATTTGGATATTGCAGACGATTGACATGATCATGTCCTTGTTTGAGAACAATCTTCCTATGAGATTTGGTGTTATATTATACTCTACAAAGTTAGTGGAGACGATAGAAACAAATGATGGCGAACTTCCTATTGATCACTTGAAGGATGACCATGAAGATGTTTCAAGTTTGGTAATATATGTAGCTGATAAAGTTGAAATATCTTTCTACACTAGTTTGTTATGTCAGTAACGGGCACCTATATTCAGCACACTTATACATGAAGCTAGTGTATGGTGTTCCGGAAAAAAAAAAGTGAAAATGATAAATAGATTAGAGATACTTATTAAAACAATAAAGAAAAGGACAGGCTGGAACAAAAGAATTGGACACTTCAAAATAGTTTATTGTATACGCAGGCCAGAAAAGAGAAAAAAATAAAAATTAATGGAACACATTGATGTTGGTACTCTGAAAATAGGTGTTAGCTGTATAGTTATGTCCATCCTTGTTTGGTGAAAATGGCCAATCACTCTTTACTATCCTGATGATGTGTTGGTTCTGTTGACAGATCATACGTCTTTTCAATTACATCGAGGAAAATCATGGGACGCTAGTGGCTTTCCAGTTTCTGAGCAACGTACGAGTTTCATCCCTTCACCGTTAAAAAATTATGTCTGATGAATGACCAGGCCAAAAGCCATTCTTGGTGGCCCCATTCCATGTGTCTAGCTGAACAAATGATGTAAAAGCCTTTCCACATTTGTTTGGCTTGACACATTGAATGAGCTCTCTTGTGCTGTGCCTTTTGGTTCAGTCAAGTGAAATAGTAGATAAGAAGGAGCCAATTGTTGTTTCGCTTCTTGCTTTACTTACCTAAATTTAAATTGTATGTTTGTATTCTATGGCTTATTGGCCTATATGTTTTATGCATGACATGTATTTTACAAGTATATAGTCACACAGTTACAGACGAGTAGAGAATGATACACCTGCGTTAGTATCACAACAACAGTAAATTATTTTGCTGCATACATTACATCATCATCTTATGTACAGACACTGACACACTTGTAAGTTAGGTATATAATTGCATAGACATTATATTTATGACTATTGGACTGGCGAGGACAGGATTAAGTTCCTTAAAATTTCATTTTAGGAATTTTGTCCTACTCATATGCACCCTTTCCTCATTGTAAATATGGGAATGAGTTCTTCATTTCTTGTGGGATTTGAGAGCAATGAGAATTACTCATTCCTGTATTTATTGGCCCTGCAAATGAAATGAGATAGCCATTTCTTTGAACCATATTTGGCCTTGGTGAAAAATGATATCTTTGTTATGTGATGTAGCTCAAGAAAGTTTCCTATGCGTTTTTCTTTTAGCATCTGAATTTCCTGATTGTAGGTGAACAAATTGAGAATGGAGTCGGGTGCAGAAGATAATCCTGAAGTGCATCATGTAGAAGGAGCTTTTGTGGAAACAATATTGTAAGACTTATAAATATTGTTCACAACAACGATATGACTGTCTCACTTTGATTTTTCCTCTTATCAATAAAGCCGGGAATATATATGCTTCTTCTGGTTCCACTGAAATTCATTTCAAGTTGCTTTAGAAAATTCTTACAATTTATAAATCTCTTATATATTGTTATCGTCTTTAGGCCAACAGCAAAATCGCCACCTCAAGATACTTTATTGAAAATAGAAAAGGAGCAAACGTGGAATGAAGTATCTCATGAAAGCTCCATGTCTGCTTTTAAACTGGGCTTGACACAGCTGAAGTGCTCTCTCTTGTTTAATGGTCTTGTCTCTGAACCTAATGAGGTTGTGCATCTTTCTAACTTCTGTGTGCCACTATCTGTATAACTAGTGCTAATTTCACTTTGGTCGGTTTTGTTGCATTGAACTTTTTGATGGGGTTGGATAACTACTTTTCTCTGTCAAGCTATTGCGATGAATGCTGATATGCTAATATGCCCCACTAAAATCATCTGTTGTGGTACAACCTTAAATATGCCGTAAAGTATTTTGATGTAGACAAGTTGTGTTTAGCATGCTTCTGCTGATAAATAGCCTTGCTAGAAGCAAGAGAAAAGCGCTAATTTGGTTTCATTGCATCAGCTGCATACCCGATTCTTTCTCTGAGCCAAGCACTTACGTTCTTCCATAATTCGGGAGTTGAGACAATCCGACAATGCTTTATCAAATTTAATCCGTTTTTTGCCTTCTGACTCCATATTGAATGACTAAAAAAATAGATTAGGCTAAGCTTGGTCAGCAATTAGCTCCTGGGTTTCTTTCACATTTCTTCACCATTAGTACTTCCCCCAAGAATAGGATCAATCATAGATCAGCATCATTCAAGTTTCAGATTACATATTATGTACATTTGTGAATGTAACGTTCTGTTTCAATCAAAATTTGTCACATATTTGACCTAAATAAATACATAGATATATTCCAATACTTCTAATCAACAAATACTTGCAAACAATGTCATATACAGGGTGTCTCCTCCAAAAATGAAAATAAATACATCTCTATTCCAAATCGTTCTTCTGCCGACTTTGAAACCTAACCAGACAATCTGCTGTGCATTTGATGTCTCTAAAAATTGCTTATTGCTCTCTTTAGAATTTAGATTGACTTTTGAGCTTCTCTTGAATTTTGGCGCAATCAGTTTTCTACTTATGAAACGCATAACTCTTATGGCTAAATTGTGTAGTTTAATTACTTGAGCCTGTGCTATATCTCTGTTGGTGATCTGGGACCTCGCATTTTTTTATTAACATTGGTTTCTATAGTAGCATCTATATGACATGAAAAAAAAAATTGTTGGCTCTGCTATGACCAGGAGGCTCTTCTAAACGCCATGAATGATGAGCTTCCCAGGATACAGGAGCAAGTCTACTATGGACAGATAAATTCTCATACTGATGTTCTGGACAAATTTCTTTCTGAAAGTGGTGTCCGGCGTTATAATACAAAGGTGGATTGTCTTGAAATGTTCTCGGTTGAATGTGTCATCTTTAGATGTTGTGTCCTTTTGGATTTTTCGGTTGTGGTTCTCTTGCTAAACCTAACAAATATTGTGACCCTGTAGATCATAACAGATGCAAAGGCCAAACCAAAATTCGTATCTTTGTGTGCGTCAGTTATTGAAAAGGAATCTGTATTAAATGATCTCCACTACTTGCATTCACCCGAAAGTAAGTTCTTGAAATGCTAGAAAAGAATCTTTTACATTCATATTCATTAAACTACAGTATCTGATATTTGCCGTACAATTTCAGCAACTGATGATTTGAAGCCCGTGACTCATCTTCTTGTTGTTGATATCACATCCAAGAAAGGGATGAAGTTATTACGTGAAGGAATACGATATCTGGTAATTTGTTGCTACAGTTGGTTAGATTTGTATTGATATAATTCATTATGTTGGCTTAAATTATTAACCGGATTCTCCAGGTTCTCAAAGTCAAATATTCTTGGTTCCTTTTTACTATTCATTTTTAAACACCCTTTAAAGTGCTTATCCAACCCTCATTGAACATTTCTGATAATTGAGTCTACTAGCAGATAAAAAAAATGTTGTTAATATCCATGGAGGAGAGTAAGGACACTCAAATTTCTATTTGTTTTGCTGAATCTAAATTTACTTGCCACTTATAACTAATCTTTAAAATGAACTGATGGGAGAAACTGCTGTGTTGAGTTGAAGCTCTTTCACTTTGATCAATGGTGACATTCCCTTTTACTTTTGCTTTTTATTTTATCATTGTAAGGCATTTTGCCATCTTTACTCCATACAGAGGTGGAGAGTGATGTTCAAAAGTCTGTCATGCTTTTTACACTTTCTATTATTCTTTTGAAAAGATAGGATCTCTACTTTTGGAAAATGTTACTTAAATTGAATTGAAGTTGACATAAAATACTGGGCAAGTGTAATGATTGTTGATTTTAAAGTTGATGTGATGTATAAATCAATTGGATTCTTCCACGTGAGTATTATGTCAAAGTGTAAGCCAGCCATTTGTTAATTTAGCATGCCTCCTAATTTTGTCATGGATTGAAATATTATAAAGATGAAAGGTGTTTCTGTTATGTACTTAAATTTAAATATTCTCATATGCTTGTCCTTATCATATGTTAAAGTTATGTACAAGTGGAGGAGAATGTAATACTTTATGTTTGCACTTCTCTTTCAGATTAACTTTTCTTGGTAACTTTTGCAAGATTTCGTTCTTTCAGTATTAGTTGATCTGTTGCAAAATGAATCCGCTCTCTTAATAAATTTGCCTCCTCAGCATAAAGTTCTAATTTATATATTTTAATCACATGTTTTGATTTATTGTTATTTTTTCCTACTGTTTCTCTGTGATTATAATGCTTGCATTACCCTGCAGATCGGTGGCTCAAAAAATGCTCGGGTTGGTGTGTTGTTTATTGCGAATGAGACTACCTCTTTGCCGGGTCTCTTTTTCATGAAAGTCTTTGAGACAACTGCATCGTCATATAGGTCTGTCTTAAATTGTGAGAATTGTTGACTATACAAAAGCTTTTGACTTAGAATCTTTATGATTTACTGAGATACTATTTCTGTTTTGTTCCTTATCTAGTATAGTGTGTTTTGCAGCCATAAGAAAGGAGTAATACAATTTCTTGATCAACTATGCTCATTCTACGAACAAGAGTATATATCGGCTTTTGGGGTTACTGAGAGCTATGTGGCACTCAGCGAGAAGGTCTTCCAGTTAGCAGATGCTAATGGGTTGTCATCTAAGGGCTTTGAGTCTAAACTTTCTGGATTTTCTGCTGATAGTTTGAGAATTTACTTAAACAAGGTGTGCTCTAATTTTTCTGATATTATATGCAAAAGAAATCAATTCATGAGTGTCTCTTTAATAGCCTTTCTTCCTGTAAAGTGGTTGTCAGTTGAAAACTTGAGTTGACTTGCTTTTGCATGAAACTTCTTTCTGTTTATGCCTTCCATTTCTCCTTTTGTCAATAATAATAATTCTACAAGATATTTTCTCCTTGTACTTTGGTCCTCTTCGTGCATGGCTTTCTTAATTGTTACTGTTAGGTATAGTATTTTAGTGTCAGTCTTCTGTCATGTAATTAAAATAGTGGGATTCACTAGGAGCAGCGAGATGGTAGTTCATCATCCAACCTATTTCCTATTCATTTAGAAATTTGCAGGCCATTATGTGAAACAAAGGGACCACCAGGAATATGTTAGGACTTAGAACATTAACCCTGATTCAACATACCTTTATTTAGGTGGCTTGATAACAGTGAGTGATCATAGTTACATTTTGCTTGTTCCGTTTATGCTTATATCTCTGGGTAAAAGATTTTCAGGTGTGATGTGTGTAAGGCTTTGAAAATGCCTAACCGTTGTTTTTTGACGTTATTTGCTTGATTTTCATGCAGGTTACTCGGTTTTTATACAAGACACTTGGTCTTGAACTAGGTGTGAATGCAGTTGTTACCAATGGGAGGGTGAGTTGATGTAGCAGTCTTGATGTCTGTTTCTATTTCCTTCTATTTTCAATTGATACTTAAAGGATAATCTGGTTTTAAGAAATTTAACTGGATTACCAGTCATCTTATTCTAATCAAGCAAGGATTAGCACTTCCATAAAATGCAATTTAAAATTAATGCTTAACCCCTTCATTTCCCATCATGGACCCACTCCTAAATTCATGGTATTTTGGTTTCGTATCTACAATTGCCCCATGAAATTCTCGATTGGAATATTTCAACTTTGCAAGTAATTCTTATAAATATTGTACTAGCTTTAGAGTACATGTGTAATTTTAGTATTGTATTCTGTAGGTAATCCCACTCGTCGATGGTAGTACATTCCTGAGCCATGATTTGGATCTTCTTGAGTCCCTGGAGTTCAAGCAACGGATAAAACATATTGCTGAGATAGTTGAAGATCTTAAGTGGGATGGTGTAGATCCTGACATGTTGACAAGGTACATCAGTAGGTTTTGTGCTTTTTCTTAAATGTAATCACATGCGAAAATGGATTATTCACCAAGGAATTTCCTTTGTTTGAGTTTGGGACAACACTGTCATGGAAGTGGATTGAATGATTATTTTTTTTATGAGACCTCACCTTCGCCAATGCATTGAATTGTATTTGTAAATTATGAGTGAATAACTATGTTGATTGATTTCACGTGATCATAACTTAAGATTGAACTGCAATATTTTCTTGAAAGAATATTTCAAAATTGAGCTGCACAAAATTGACTCAATTCAATTTTTTTCTTTAACAGCATCTTCTTTACGGATTCTTTCTCAAACAGTTTCTGCTTGCCTGATGGAAGACTTATTTTTAGTTTTTCTACTTTGCAGTAAATTCATGAGTGACATTGTTGTGGCCATCTCATCCTCAATTTCCATGAGGGATCGAAGTTCTGAAAGTGCCCATTTTGAGATTTTGAGTGCAGAATACAGGTACCATCACAGTTAAAGGATAAAAAGAAAAGATAACAAGTTTCATATCGATTGTGAGGGGACAGGATAGTTTATTTAGTTTATTTCTGGAAATTCAGATTTATCTTTTCCTCTAAGGCTCGTCATTCAGTTTGGGTGTTGACATGCGGCATTCTGTTTCATAATTATTTAACTAAAATGCTATTCTATTCAAGACAACAGATTGTAGGGGTTACTTAGAAGCTTTTGGATTTTCAATTTTGTTACAGGAGGTGCATGTTTAACTGATTGACTGAGAATTATCTGGATGATTTATGTCTATTAATAAGTATGTCATTCCTTAGTTTTGTCTTCTTTTTCTCCTTAGGGAGTGTATTTCCTAATCCAAAAATTGGTAAAATCAACTACCGAGTACTAAGCATTCAAATTCTGTCCATTGTCTCTAACTGTCGAAACAATTGGGATTCAAGCGTTCCATTTGTAAGATAATCTCTTCTCATTCTTACAATTCCCACAGTGCTGTAATTTTGGGGGATGAAAATTCAAGCATTCATATTGATGCTGTCATTGATCCTTTGAGTCCCTCTGGCCAAAAGCTCACGGCCCTTCTTCGCATTCTGTCAAAGTACGCTCAGCCAAGCATGAGACTTGTGCTCAATCCCGTGGTGAGTTGCTATCATAACTGCGAATACTTGTATGACAAATTCACAATTTCCTAATTTACTGCTTTGTTCCTGCAGAGTTCTCTGGCGGACCTTCCTTTGAAGAACTACTACAGATATGTCGTGCCAACAATGGTATTTAATGTACCTTTTGCTTATCACCTTTTCATAGAATCACATGCTTTCAGTTCCTCACGATGTCATAACTCTTCAGGATGACTTCAGCAGTATTGATCACACAGTGCATGGTCCCAAAGCATTTTTCGCAAACATGCCACTATCTAAAACACTCACCATGAATCTTGACGTTCCTGAACCGTGGCTTGTGCAGCCTCTTGTTGCCGTGTAAGTTTCTAGTCAGGGGGTCTTTAGCAATATCCTTGCTTAAAATATTTGAAGAATTATTTAGATTTTTCTATAGATATTTGCTTACGTTCCTTTATTGTCTAGCTCTTTATTTATGAGTCCACATTTTGCAGCCACGACTTGGATAACATATTGCTCGAGAATCTTGCTGACACCAGGACGTTGCAGGCAGTGTTTGAATTAGAAGCTCTTGTTCTGACAGGTACTGTTTGCTATATTATGAAGAGCTTATTACAAAATTACCTGAAAGTTAGTCAAATTACAAAAACCTACTTATTTCCTAATATGGAAAACTCCTTGAGGTTTGTAACTTTGTATATACCTTACAGTAAAACCCCTCTGATTGCTCTTGAAGGGGCACCTTTCTTAGGTGCTACAAACCTCTATTCGTTTAATAAATTTTATGTTCTTTAAATTAGGGTTGTTATCTTAATTATCCCCAATTTTAGTTTTTTTTGATAATCAGTCGACCTTGCTATGAACCNAAAAAAAAAAAAAATCCAGGTCACTGCTCCGAGAAAGATCATGAGCCCCCCCGAGGTCTTCAATTGATTCTTGGATCTAAAAATACTCCCCACTTAGTTGATACCCTTGTTATGGCCAATTTGGGTTACTGGCAAATGAAGGTCTTGCCTGGGGTCTGGTATTTGCGGCTCGCTTCAGGTAGAAGCTCCGAGCTTTACCTTATGAAAGAAGACAGTGATGGAAATGAGGGGACATCTTTGCTGAAGCGAATCACGATAGATGATTTGCGAGGTAAAGTTGTTCATATGGAAGTTATTAAGAAAAAGGGCATGGAACGAGAGAAGCTGTTGGTTCCTGCTGATGAAGATGGTCATTCTTCTGGCAAGAAAGTAAGAAATTATAGGATTAACATTTATTTGTGTTTTCCTATTTGTAATGTCTGAAAAGACAGTATTTTACGGAGTTGAGAGTCGGATTATGATCATTTTATTCTTTAAATGACTAGGGAGCTGAGAACATCTGGAATTCAAATATCCTTAAATGGGCTTCTGGATTTATCGGCAAGAAAGACAACTCAAAGAAGGGGGAAAACAATTCCTTGGTGAGGCTTACAGAGAACAGTAGTAATGAGTATTCCTATATGCATAAGTTTGTGTATTCTTGCTTTAGCCAAAGATTGCATTATTGACACATTTTTATTTTTTTTTTTTTTTTTTGTGTGCGTGTGTAGAGAACAACTATCTCACTATTTGTGAATTAGTAAAATAGTTGGCCAAAATACACCTCATCAGGGCAAGCTAAAGGAGACAATCATTTACATGAGCAACTTTTGGTCATATCGGCCCATTTCCGAATATCACGGTAAAAGAAAAAATTACATTGGTTAAACTCACATCCAAGTAATCANTTTTTTCTGGCAGGATGTAATTCCACATATGGCGAAACATTATGGTTTTGAGTACGAGTTAATCACTTATAAGTGGCCAACATGGCTACATAAACAGAAAGAGAAACAGCGAATCATATGGGCGTACAAAATCCTTTTCCTTGATGTCATTTTCCCGCTTGCCTTGGAAAAGGTATGTTGAGTTAATAATACCATAAAATAGAAACTTCCATTAACAAGGCAGAGGCGGTTAAAAGAAAATGTATGCATATTGTCAAATAAGAAATTTTATCTTTTGATATTTGACCTTTGCAGTTAAAAAGCCTATCAAAAGACTTCACATGTCCAAATTAATATAAGTTAATATATTGTATGACTAGGTATACTATTTATTTTCATCAAAATACTATTAAGGGGTGATTGCATATAAGTTATTTTTTTGTCTTTTATTTATTTGTTTGTTAACCATCGTTAATTTTGAAAAAGTTGATTAGGTTAGGTTTGAATGGGATTTTGAGTTCGTTTTTTAAAATAATAGTTAAAATATAATGATTAAAGTTGATTGATGTAAAAGTAGGAGAAAGATGATTGGAAGTGATGTGTAGTTAAAATTATGTGAGTGGATGAATAGTGAATTAAAGTTGAAGTGATGCCTGAATATGATTGATTGACATTTAATTACATTGATAATATTGAAGATAATTGGGTTCAGTTAAATTTGAGTTAGATTTTGAGTTAAAAAAAAAAATGTATGTGATCAGATATCTTTATAAACAATCAGGGCCTAAACTCTTTGTACTCCAACTTTCAGTTTTCCTTATTAGAAGGCTTTTGACAAAATTCTAGAGTTCCACCTACTTAGTACTAATTCTCTCTTTTGGTTTTGCATAAATTTCAATGTTATACTCTAGTAACTTTGACAAATTTATCTTTCTAAAATCAAATTGAAGATTTAAAATTTTAAGCTAACAGGCTTCATCTATGGATAGTTAACTCAAACTCTATTTTTCTTATTATAAGCTGGGCTCCCCTCAGTGAAATACCTAATTACTTCACGAATATTTGGTTTGATTGAGGTGTTTATATGTTTGGTACTGTTAATTTTTGCAGGTTATATTCGTTGATGCAGACCAAATTGTGCGTGCAAACATGGGAGAACTTTATGACATGAATTTAGGAGGACGGCCTCTTGCATATACTCCATTCTGTGACAATAACAAAGATATGGATGGCTATCGCTTCTGGAACCAAGTACATTCCTTTCTATTCAACTTTTTCCATGTCCTTCAAATTTTCCTGTAAAAAAACATTTTCATATAAAGCTGGTTGCTATTTTTCGTTGTTGAACAGGGATTCTGGAAGGATCATCTGCGAGGAAAACCATATCATATTAGGTATAAGAACCTTTTTCTATTTGCAGATTTTGATATTCTAACATCACTGAGAATCTTTCTCACCTGACATATCTTATGTTCTTGTAGTGCTTTATATGTGGTTGATCTTGTCAAATTTCGGGAAACAGCAGCTGGAGACCAATTGAGAGTAGTTTACGAAACTCTAAGCAAAGATCCAAATAGTCTTTCTAATCTTGATCAGGCAAGTCAAACGAATATATTAATTAACACCCCTAATTTTAGTTTCTTTTAGTCGTATTTTGATTTGTATTTATAAATCTTTCTAAATTTTTTTCAAGAATGTACATTTTGAACATATGATGCTTGGGACTAAAAGGCTATGTTGTTGTTGTTTGTTATGTACATTTTAAACATATGATGCTTTGGTACAGGATCTTCCAAACTATGCTCAACACATGGTGCCCATATTTTCCCTTCCACAAGAGTGGCTATGGTGCGAGTCTTGGTGTGGTAATGCCACCAAATCCAAGGCAAAAACCATTGACCTTTGCAACAATCCCATGACAAAAGAGCCCAAGCTTCAGGTAAAACAACTCAAATCTAGAATATATATACTTATGAAAGGTTTGGGATAATAACAAGAAAACCCCGGAGATGTTTGACAATGTCGGCTTGGATTATTAAAGGTTTTATCAACAATATTTGTATTAGAAACACAGAGAGGGGTTTTGAAAATTGTAATTTTGAATCTTCTCTAGATCTTAACGTTAATACCCCAAGGCCTCATTTACTTAAGCTGATAGGATAGGATATGGTTGGGTAACTCCTGTTATTCAACGTTTACTAACCATTATGGGATTGGATAATAAGCTGATGTGTCATGTGGGTCCCATATTTTTATGCACGATTGGCATGATTATTTTGTCCGATCTTGAGGGTGGGACAATTTAATCCCATTTTCCAAAAATTGGCATGTGAAATGTCCCTTTTACCCTTAGAAGTCCACCAAATTATAGATTTAGGCCATATAAAATTGTATTGTGGGTCCCACACTTAAACTCATATTTGCTTTTTATCCTATCGTTTTATTTTATCCAGGTTAGTACTTTGCTTGATTATTTGCCTTAAAATGCATCATGTTTTGCAAACATTGGACACAAATTGACGTGTAAAGTTAATGGAACTAAACTTGTCCAATCCCATCCTATTCGATCCCATAAAGTAAAAGAGGCCCAACAGTTAGGGTGGTTTTTTGTAGTTATCCCTATTGTTTTTATTCTTTCATCACTCTTTTGCATGTTGTCTTCTTACCTACTTTCCAAATTTTATTTCCACTGTAGGGAGCTAAAAGAATAGTGACAGAATGGCCGGATCTTGACCTTGAAGCTAGACGCTTCACGGCCAAAATTTTAGGTGAAGATATCGAGCCACAAGAGCAAGCAACAGCTGAGATCAACACTGATGACATAGCAGAAGATGAGGAGTCCAAAGCAGAATTGTAAATGCAAAATTGCACAAGTTGCGGAGTCCAAAGCAGATGGGATCTTAATAGAAAATTCAAAACGAGGAAAAATTCTTTTTGGATTGGGCAAGGGTAAAAACTCGGGAAAAAGATGAGTAGAAATCATATTTCATAGATGAGAATGTATTAGTGAAAAAAATACTATCCTCAAATGGGAAATTTTTATTTTGATGTTATGGAAGAGAGAATGAGATATAACATAGTTGCTTAGTATATCATTCCTCACTTTTGTAGTTTTGTAGAATGAATTCTGCCAACATTAATTTTCAGAATGATGATTATCGGGGGAAAAGAAAAAGAAAAAGATTGACTGGAAATGGTTGACTTCTTGTTCTTAATATGCATTTTGTGTAGAAGGCATGCTTAAAATGCATAGTGTTCTTAATATGCCTTCTAACTTATAATAGTTGTTCTCTTATTTATTTTGAGGATTTGGTAAGTTTTCCATTTATGCAATATAGAAAAAGTACAAAATCAATTTTCTTGAAGTAAACAAAATAGAAAAAGTACAAAATCAGTTTATACGAACCTTTTTAAAATATTTATTTGTTTTATAAATGCAATATGAATATCAAATTGAAACTTGTAAAAAGATGATTAATTTATATATTATGTATGAAAAAGTGATAACAAATATAAAAGTTATCAACTTTTAAATATATTTATAATTTAAGTTAATCAAATGTTTTATAATTTTAAAAGCGTAACTACATGGATTGTAGAAATTGACTCATAGACGAAGCATCGGAAATTGACTCATAAGTTGGGATGAGTAACAACGCAATAGCACAGCAGATAGTCGACCTCACCAAACAAATGCAGCTATTGAACGCTAGAGGAGTTCAGCCAACGTAATCCATGGTTGTTGATGCATGCGGGGCATGTGGAGTACAAGGCCATGGATCTGAGATGTGCCCATCGGTCTTTGAGCAAGACTTTAGCGAGCAATACGCAGACGCCAATGCACTACAAGGCTATCAGAACAGGTCGGGGAATGATCTATTCTCCAATACATACAACCCGGGGTGGCGAAACCACCTGAACAATAATGTCCAGTAGCCTCGACCAAACTTCCTACAGCAACAACCACGACCTAACTTCATTCCCTAACAGCAGATGAGGTCGAACTATTCTCAACATCAGCAGCAACAGCAAAAGGTCCAATGGTTAGAATGCAAGCACCGAGGTTAGATCCGAGCTCATCTAATTAGGATGACAAGTTGGACAAGTTCTCCTGTTTATGGCTAACCAATGGTTAGAATGCAAGCACCGAGGTTAGATCTGAGCTCATCTAATTAGGATGACAAGTTGGACAAGATTCTCCTGTTTATGGCTAACAGCGAACAGAGAAACTTGAATAACTAATAGCGAACAGAGAAACTTGAATAACGAGGTATTATCAAACGCGTCGAGACCTAGATGAGCTAACTAACTTGAATAATGAGACATTATCAAACGCATCGAGACCTAGATGGGCTAACTAGTCACTAGGGTTGGGAATGGAAGCTGAGTTTAGGTCTAACTAGTCACTAGGGTTGGAAAAATGGAAGCTGAGTTGGACAAAGGGAACATGGACGCGTTATCAAATGCGTCGAGACTTAGATGGGCTAACTAGTCACTAGGGTTGAGAATATGGAAGCTGAGTTGGACAAAAGGAACATGGGCTAACGCGTCGAGATCTAGATGGGCTAACTAGTCACTGAGTTGAAACCTCGACCTAGATGGGCTAATTTGTCTCTAGGGTTGGGAATATGGAAGCTGAGTTGGACAAAGGAAACATGGACTAACGCGTCGACACCGGTTAAGTCTAGATGGGCTAACTAGCCACTAAGTTGAAACCGGTTCACATGGACGCGTTATCAAACGCGTCGAGACCTAGATGGGCTAACTAGTCACTAGGGTTGGGAATATAGAAGCTGAGTTGGACAAAGGGAACATGGGCTAACGCGAGATCTAGATGGGCTAACTAGTCACTGAATTGAAACCTCGACCTAGATGAGCTAACTAGTCACTAGGGTTGAGAATATGAAAGCTGAGTTGGACAAAGGAAAACGTGTCGAGACCGGTTAAGTCTAGATTGGGAATATGGAAGCTGAGTTGGACAAAGGAAACATGGGCTAACACGTCGAGACCGGTTAAGTCTAGATAGATCTAGATAGGCTAACTAGTGAGTGAGTTGAAACCGGTTAAGAACCGTTTAAACCGGCAAAACCTGTTGTGGTTGGGACTGTTCAGTGGTCACGTGTTTTGCTTTGTGAATGTATGGTTGTAAAATCAATTAAATAGCTGAACATTGTTTGTTGTATTTCCGATGTGGGATTCAGTTGTTCACAAACAAAGGCTGATGGAATTGTTGGGCTCTTGCCTTATTGGGCCGTATTAAACTATTAATTGGTTGTAAGTACAATATTTAATTGGCTTATAAAAAAGTAGTAAGTACAATATTTAAGAAATCGAAATAATTAAAATAAAAAATACTATCCTACAATGAGTGGCTTAATGGACTTAGAAGAATTATTTATTGCATATGAGATAATGATATATATATATGTCGTATATTAATTGTATTTCTTTTCTATTAAAAAAAGTTAAAGAAATTTGGTGATTACTATTTTGAGGTAATAATATATTGTAATATATTAATTGTGTTTCTTATATCTACTTTTTATGTCATATAAAATATTTTATAATATATTTCATATATGTTTAATCTCATAGCTTTTAAGTATAATGGATATTTATAAAATATTTATGAATACTTTAAGTATTTAAATATTTAATTAATTATATTTTTATATATAAAATTTAATACATAATATATCATATGTTTTAAAAATATTAATATATTAAATTTCGGTCCAACCGTTTCAACCACTGGTCTGACCAGTGAACCATTGAACCAGTCGCTCGAATGGTTCGATGACCGGTCCGGTTTTCAGAACCATGACAATAACGATGTTGAGAAGCGGGAAGGTAGTTGACAATCATGTGGAATTGCCCGAAATTTCATGGCAAAGTCGATCGATGAACTGGAAGAAAGAGAAGAAATGAGCACCCGTTCGCTGACAAGGTGTTGGATGTGGATTTGCCGCATGGGTTCGGAGAGTTAGTGTTGGCATATGATGGATCTACAGACCCAACATTCTTGATGAATTATCAAAAGTTAATAGAAATATATTTTATATCTTGTTACACGTATTTATCATATTTCATTTAGAAAACCCTTACATTGAAGGGGAACAACAAATAATTATGAATTTAACTTGACAAGTTTTTGCCTTCATGGAGAGCGATAAAATAAGCCCCTAAAATCAAGCACAAAGGGTTGATTGTAATTATGAATATTAAGCCCTGTTGGTTATTGTTGTACTAATTTTCTCTTAGCTAAGTTTTTTTCCCATAAGGTTTTACTAAGTAAGATATTTAATGGGACAACAAGTGTAACACATGAATTCTTACAAATCAAAAATTGTGCACTTTCCTCGACTACGTTTTTTCCACTAGGTTTTGTAGTGGAGATTTTAATGAGTCATAGATATGATGCGGTAATATCCAAGAGAGAGTGTTGTATACAATTAATTATTGACAACACCTAAATATTGGCTTCACAAGTATGTCCTGAGTTTGGTCATTACGAATGTACAATGTACTTCCATGGCTTCACAAGTATGTCCTGAGTTTGGTCATTACGAATGTACGATGTACTTCCATATGTATAAGGCACAAATGAATTTTTACAATTTCTTTCTCTCTCTTGCTCTCGCTTTCTCTTAGTTTCTATGTGGTATGAGACAATGTATAATGCAACTCAACCATCTTCGATTTCATAAATTTAAAGAATGGTTTTTCCAATTTTCAAATCAAATCGCCATTGTGGTTCTCGCTCGCTCATTTTCTATATCGTCAGAATGTATAATACAACACAACCATCTTTAATTTTGGAAATTCAAAGAATGATTTTTCCAATTTTGCAAATCAAACATATAAAAGAACAACCATCGTGTAGCCATCGGGTGCATCGAATATGAGAATCTTTTAACAAGTTTAAAAAGAAAGATGAGAATCTTTTAACAAGTTTAAAAAGAAAGAAAAACAACATAAATAAAATATGACACTCAATAGAATAAGTACGTATGTTAAAAATGTATGTCTATCTAACCATTAGAAAGTCTTACAGCAGAAATAGTGTTATAGAAATACACACTGATACAACAGCACATATATTTACAAAATGTACAGTAAGTAGAGTTAATTCAGAAGAAGTTATTCTACAGGAAACTCCTCCTGCCCTACATGACCAAGTTTGCCTAAAAATGTGAAAGCAAGCATACTCGAAAAACAATATGATAGTTAAATGAAACAAAACGAGGAGAAAGACGAAGGAAGCTAATAGTAGCAACAAGCATATCCTAAACTCATCCAACACCAACATAGACACAAAAACGTGAGCTAACATCTGCTACTATTCCGGAAAAACACATTTTATCCATCCACCAACACTTGTTTGTACACGAGTGTTCCAACTACACAAGATTTTACTTGTTTATTTACTTGATTACTCATTTGTAATTTTTGTAAAGCAGTGATTTAAGTCCGGGCTAGTAGGACATGATTATAGTAGCAAGTCAATCTTGTACCTCTTGCAAGTCGATTAACTCCCTAACATTTCTCCTGCGCCTTCTGCGAAGGTAGGCCCCGACTAGGTAGAACACAAACGAGAGAGCAAAGGCAGAGTAGTCAAACACATCTATGATATTTCGATGGCCTGTAGGAACATTAAACAGTATTTAAAGTGAAGAATTATTGAGAGGGGCAAGAATTATTTAAGCAGAACTACTAGAAGAAACAATCATGTCCAAAGTACCTATTCGGAGGAAATCAAAGGGGGTGAGTGAGTACAGAACTCCAAGGAACAACTGCAAACAGAGAAAAATTCAAAATGCTCGCATTAAAAAATGGGATATTGCAACAAAATAAATAAAGTCGGCCAAGATAAATATCCAACATACAATGGTATTGCACAGAAAGAAACATGAATCAATAAAGGACAGTTTCAGAAGTTAAGGAAGACGATGCTGAAGAGTTCCCAGAATTCAAGCTCCAGTGGTTGGCTTCTCAATAGAACACGAGTTCACTTTAAGTCTAAAGCCGCATCAAGGCTGATCATGACATTTACAATCTCAGCATTTATTGGGCATCAAAGTGGACCAGGAAAAGGCTTTGCAAAAGTGCATCAAGATCCCACGACCTTTTACCACGCACATGGTCACATTTATGAAGGAAAAAGCAACTCTAGTTGGCATTTTGAACCATATATAGAAATCACTTTTACCACTAGTCATCTTTCCTCAAAAAAAAGAAGACGACGATTGAATCTAGTTGACATCGGATCAACTTTTAGCGAGTTTTTCAGATGGGCTCCATGAATATTTGCAATAGATGCGCTCATAAGTACCCTTGAAAATCAATTATCAAATAGAGAACCTTAAAAAGGCACAATCAAATACCTGATTCCAAACACACAATTTTCCACATGCAAATGATTAACAAGGTACCATTAAATTTGCAAGAGTTAAGAGTGGCTACTGAGTAGTCTTGAGAAGTTAGAACAACTGTACTGAAAACAAAGTGGTGGTTGTAATGCAGAAATGCTGCAACAGTTATGTAAACTTAACTGCAAGCATTCTCATTTCATGGAGATAAAGACCAGGTCTGTCAGGATTCAACATCTCACGGAACATTCTCTTCATATACAATGGAATAGCAAGAAATTTCTGCCAAAACAGGGGAAAATAAAAAATTGAAGATAGCGGAGAGGTTACGTGGTACGAGATGCTACAAAACATATACAGAATCAAGAACACATAGCTAAGAGCAATAATTCAATTATTGAAGACCATTTCTCATGTATACGTGGACATGTGACAAATTGATTAAACTAAATTAAAATAAACAACCCAGCGATATTTTCACCTTTTATCTATTAATCTCAGTTTAACTGATCACTTATATGCGACACCTTGTTTGCCACAATGCCAATCCTGCCTACCAAATAATTTATATTTACGCAATAACTTCTATTGTCTAGTTTTGTAGAGAGAAGCAGACAATACACATGCAATCAACAAAGCATGTGCCTATCAATTACTGCTGTCAGGGAAGAAGGCACTTAATAGAGATTAAAACAATAAGTAGTCGAAAAGGCTTTCATGTGATTAGTTGTTATTTTATCAAAATTTTTCTAAAATCTTACCTCTCATGCCATAACATCAAAAACAAGTGAACCTGCTGCTAACCTTTCTCACAGACAAATCTCCAGTTTTCCACATCCAGAACTTATAGATTGAGCTTCGACGTTCTCAACAATATTTATCGAATCAATTTGTCAAACTTCCTTAGGATCCTTTATCAGCAGTAAACTACACAGCCATATTCTTATGTACAAAGCACTAAATGACTGGAAAGCAAAGCAAATCCGCTACCCATAGCTTGAAGAATCAGATGTCTTATCAAGTCAAAACTGCAGTAAACAAAGGGTCCATGAAATGTTTCATGTCATTTCATTTTATCTTAACCATACTACATGGTTCAATTTGCATTGTATTAACAACAAAGACAAACAAATGGCCATCCCTAAGAATATGAGAACATATTCAAATCCCAAGTTATTGAATAACATCAACTCACCAGCATAAATCCACAAATGCCTCCCACAAACAAGCGGTTATAGTCCCCAACATTGCGTAGAACCTTACTAATTTCCACTTCAGGTCTGTTACAAAATGATGCCTCCGGTGTCAACTTCGTTATAAGCTGCGAACACATGGGGCACTTGCACGGCCTCAGTGCAGCGCTAAAGTTCCAGTACTGCAGAATACAACCCCCTGTAAAATGCAGGAAATTATTTCACAAAGAGAAACAAGAAGAAAAGTGATGGATAATTACTACAGCACCTGTTATTTATTTTAGAAAAAGGGAGGTTCTAAATCGCACAGTAGTTCATTCTTGTCGGAGATCTAACCACCAATCATAGAGTAGTAACTATATCAGTAACTGACTGCCTTGTTGTTTTCTCAGTAAATAAATATACCATGGTGTGATGATAGTTGAGTATAGTATACTTCATCAAATATTAGAAGAACGCTGAAAGGTTATGCCCATATCAATCAAAAGACTCCCAGAGAAAAATCAAAACCTTCTTATGTGAACAATTATGTTATAGTATCGTTGAAAAAACTCCAATACATATATGAAATCGAACAGACCTTTCCTAATATTGGCAAGAGAATCACTAGCTTTCATGAGCTAACCACGCTTACATCCACACATCAATCTTACATTAAAATCTGTTTCTGAAAAGTTACCTGAGAACGTTTCATTCACTAACAAGAATCCATATTATGTGCTCTCAGATTATATGCACACGTGAAAAGGCAATCACAAACAATGAATGAATGAACACACACCAACCAGCGCACATACGTACAAATTAAAACCAATCAAAATAAAAAACCACGAACAGAATTCGGATAATGAGAATCTCCAAACAACCACCGACTAAGGAAACTCTTACTGCGAATCACAAAAAATGAATGAACGAACAAACACACCAACCAGCGCATAAACGTATAAATTAAAACCAATCAAACTAAAAAACAACGAACAGAATTCCGATAATGAGAATCTCCAAACAACCACCGACTAAGGAAACTCTCACCGCAGTACCAGTGACCGCAAGGAGCTCGGCACGGGACATCAAAGTCCCCGAAACATATAGGACAGACGTCATCGGACGGAGGCTTGTCCATCAATTCTCGCTTATTCTCCCCCTCGCCAGGCGACGACCTCTCGTCCCTATCCCCGTCACCAACCGCCGCAATCGTTTCCCTTTCTCCAGACGGAGCCGTTTCGCCGTCTGTCGGCGCCGTCGCCGCCGCTCCTCCGCCGCTAGTCTCACCATTCCGGCTATGAATGAGTTCCGGATTCTGGTCGGCGCGTCGGGCTCGAGAGAAGAAAATGGCCAGGGATTTCATCCTCTCTTTCTAGAATCTTGATTTCCTTTTATGGCTATTCGAGGTTGGACTGAGCGGATCTCAACCGCAATCTGTGTGCGCCGTTGACAGTCCGTTGAAGATGAATTTTCACGAATATTACGGCCCAACATTATCCGCAGTATTTATGTAGTCGGTGCATTTGGGGTGGAATTGCAATTATGTTAAATATTGGGACGTGATCATTCATTTCGTGGAAGGCCTTTCAGACGGCAGCTACCTTCATAATTTAAAATAAACAAACTAAATAAAATAAATGTATAATATAAAAATATTTTAAAAAATATTAATATACACAATAATTTATAGCTTAATTTTTTTTTCTTTCGTTTATAATTTTTTTTTTTTTTGAAAATTTTAGATTTAAATGTAAACAAAGTATTTGAAGTAAGAACGAAATTTTATTTGGTATGTGAAGATATGAAATAAATATTTTTTATATGAATTTTATTTGGTATGTGAAGATATGAAATAAATATTTTCAATATGAAATTTTATTTGGTATGTGTAGATATGATATAAATATATAATAGTANCAACTATTCTTTTTTCATAAATATGGAATAATAACTTATTTTACTTTAAAACTATGTTGATGTTTGTACAAGAAAAATGAAATGAAAAATTTATGGATATATCTTAGATCCAATCGCAATCGTAATAAAAATATTTTTTCACACAACTAATACTGAAAAAAAAAATAAGAAAAATAAAAAAATAAAATAAAATCGATCACCACCTGTTGACTTGATTGATTCACATATGCATGGAGTTTACTCTGTTCTTTTTATTCTTCTGTTATTGGTCAGGGCTTAAGCGTGTTTCACTTGAAAACTCGTTGTTGCATTTTATTTTTCTTTATTCTGTCTTTTGTTATTTTCCCTTAGCACACGCGTTAACCGGTAATTGGTTACACATGTTGTCTTGTTATTGGGGATTTGTTATCTTCATCCTTTAATAGTGAGGTAGGATCGAATTATGTACTAAACTGAACACTGAGCTCGAAGCTCTTATCTTTCATGGCGATTTAAGATTTCGGAATTATTGTTTTGTTCGATCTTTTCATTACTATTTTGAGCTCGCTCTACATGGTATCTAGAGCAGGATAAAGAAATGGCGCACACTGGTGAAGGTCGTGAGCTGATTGGAAGAGGAATCTACACTCGTGACGTAGATTCGCTTTCACTACATGGATCGGACCACCCTGGGATGGCCTTGTCACTAATCAACTGAATGGCGCAAATTATCTCCATTGGAGCAGGGCGATGAAGCTTGCCTTAACTGCAAAATCGAAACTCAACTTCATCAATGGCACAGTACCAATTCCAGATCCAGGATCAGAGGAGCACGATCAATATAAGAAGGTAGAGTCTATGGTGATTTCCTGGATTCTCAACTCTATTTCGAAGGAAATTGTAGAAGCTTTCATATATGTTAAAAGTGTTAAACAACTACGGGATGAGTTAGCCGAAAGATATGGTGAAAGCAATGGACCTCTAAGGTACCAATTGCAGAAAGAAATAGCCACATTTACACAAGGTTCTTTGTCTGTTACTGCTTACTTCACTAAATTGAAATGTCTATGGGATGAGTTTGCATGCTTGATAACTCTTCCTGATTGCACATATGGTACGGGTAAAGACTTCTATGAGCTAGACATGGAAATTAAACTTATGCAGTTCCTTATAGGGTTGAATGAAGTCTTTGAACTAGTCAAAAATCAAATTCTACTATTAGATCCTTTGCCAACCATAAATAGGGCATACTCTATGATTTTGAAAGTGGAAAAATAGAAAAGCCCTACTGCAGGAATGAATATGTTTGAAAATTCAACCATGCTTGCAAAAGGAAGTTTTGGGAGAGAAGCAGGAAGGGGACAGGTTTTTAGCCGAGGTAATAGTGGAAGGAATTTTACAGGACAACAAGCCAACAATACAGAAAAAGAAAGGTTTGGACCAAGATTGACAAAGGAAGAAAGGGCTAAAATGTTCTATACTCACTGTGGGTACAATGGTCATGATATTCAATGGTGTTTCAAACTAAATGGCTATCCTGATTGGTTCAAGGAATTGAGAGAGAAAAGGCAGAACCAAAATGTAAACATGGCAGAGAATGATAGTTCATCAAAAGGAGATTCAGAGACAGAATCCCAAAGCAGTGATACTTCTACTGATATTGGTCTACTCATTCAGAAGGAAGTAGCTAAATATATGTCTGGCCAACAAAGTGCAGAGGTTCACCCTTATTCTCATTTTGCTGAGTTAATTGAAGAAAATGAAGATTATGCTTTCTCATTAACCAGTAAGCTTGCTAGGGGAAGTTGGATCATTGACACAGGTGCTAGCAAGCACATTTGTTGTGACATTGACATTGCACATAAGAAATCATTGGTAGCAAGTCCCATTCTTGTAAACTTGCCAGATGGATCAAAGGTGAAGGTAACCCAAGTAGGGGAGGTGAATTTCAATAACAAGATGATTCTGAGAGATGTGTTGATAATCCCAGAATTCAAATATAATTTACTGTCTATGGGGCAACTGGTTGAAGAGAATGGTTTAAGTTTTACCTTCACAAATACAGAATGCAGGCTGTTGGACACTAAGGAAGATTTAACCATTGCAGTGGGTAAGGCAGTAGGAGGATTGTATGTAATAGAAACAAGAGGCCTGTATGTCAATGCAGTTGACAAAGAGTTACATATTAATGAAAAACTGAGTTTGTGGCATAAAAGGCTTGGTCACAGCTCAGTCAATTGTTTAAAACATCTGCAATTTATCAAGGGAGATTGCTCTAAGGAAGAGCTGGGGGTGTGTGAAGTTTGCCACAAGTCAAAACAACCAAGGTTGTCTTTTCCTCTCAGCCACATTCACAACAAAGAAAAATTTGAACTCATACATGTAGATGTTTGGGGTCCACACCATGAAGATTCAATGCTCAACACCATCTACATGCTTACAATAGTTGATGACTTGACAAAGGCTACTTGGATTTATCCTATGAAGTACAAATCTGAGACCATCATCCATGTGAAATCTTTCTTTAAGCTGATTGAGGTTCAGTTCAATTTGAAAATCAAGAAAATGAGGACAAACAATGGCAGTGAGTTTGTGAATAGGGAGATGGAGAATTTTCTGAAGGATAATGGTGTAATTCATCAAAGAACCTGCTCCTACACCCCCCAACAAAATGAGGTTGTGGAGAGAAAACATAGATCCATTCTTGAAGTGGCAAGATCACTATCTTTTCAAGCTAACCTGCCAAAATACCTCTGGCCCTACAGTTTATTGGCAGCTGTGCAGATTATAAATACATTACCCAGTGAAAAACTGGGATGGAAGTGTCCTTATGAGCTGCTACATGGAACTACACCAGCATATGACATGTTCAAGGTATTTGGATTTCTATGTTATGCTAGCAAAGTACACCCTCATAGAAGGAAATTTGATGAAAGGGCAGTAGAGTGTGCTTTTCTGGGATTTGTATTAGGTGTGAAGGGATACGAGTTTATAATTTGGAAACAAAGGATGTGTTTGTCACTAGAGATGTGGTGTTCTATGAAGAGAGATTTCCTTTCCACAAACCAGTAAATACTACTGTTTTGCAGCAACCAGAAATTCCTTTGCCAATTATTGTTGATGAAGTTGAAGATACTTATGAACCTCATTAAGAAACCAAAGCATAAGAAATTGAATCAATGGATTCACATGGCAGTCCACACAGAAGGAGTAGCAGAGTAAAGAGACCTCCATTCTGGATGTTAGACTACATAACTGAATCACCAGGTGATGCTGAAGTTAATTCTTTCTTTTCTACAGTAAATAAAACATTGTCAGAACCAATGTTCTATGAGCAAGCCATTGGTGATGAAAGATGGAAATAGGCTATGCACAAGGAATTGGAAGCCTTGGAATCAAATCAAACTTGGATTCTCACCAAACTGCCACAAGGAAAGAAAGCAATAGGTTCTAAATGGGTTTATAAAATCAAAAGGAACCCTAATGGCACTGTTGACAAGTTCAAGGCTAGATTGGTGGCCAAAGGGTACTTACAAAAAAAAGGTGTTGATTTTTTTGATAGCTTTTCACCTGTTGCTAAGCTTCTATCAGTGAGACTACTTATAGCTTTGGCCATTCAAAATAAGTGGGAACTGCATCACATTGATATAAACAATGCATTTCTTCATGGTTTTTTGGATGAAGAAGTCTACATGTTTCCTCCAAAGGGTTACACTAAGGCAAAGAAAGGGGAAGTGTGTTTACTGAAGAGGAGTCTTTATGGTCTTAAGCAAGCAAGTAGACAATGGCATATAGAATTTTCTGACAAGCTTCTTTCTTATGGCTTTGAACAATCCTCACGTGATCATTGCCTGATTTACAAACATTCAGAGGGAAAGGTACTCGTTCTTCTCATTTATGTGGATGATGTTTTGGTTGTTGGTAATTGCTTGACTGTTATTCAGCAACTAAAGGGCTATCTTGATGATTTGTTCAAAATCAAGGATCTTGGGGAAGCCAAGTATTTTCTGGGCTTGGAAATATATAGAACGGCAGCAGGGGCTTATTTGAGCCAAAGGAAGTATATAGTTGATTTGGTTCATGACTTAAGTTTGGAAAATTCAAAACTTTCTGTTACTCCTTTGCCTCAAGGAATCAACTTGTCTTCAATAGAATCACCTCCATATGACAATCCAGAGGTTTATAGGAGGCTTATAGGGAGGCTTCTTTACTTTAATTTTTCCAGAGCAGATATATCCTATGCTGTCCAACAATTTGAGCCAATATGTTCAGGCACCTTCACAAGCTCATTGGGGTGCCGCTTTGCATTTAATCCGTTATTTGAAGGGGAATCCATCTCTTGGACTCTACTATGCAGCCTTGCCATCATCTCAGCTTGGAGCCTTTTGTGATGCCGATTGTGGCAGTTGCAACATTACAAGAAAATCCTTGACAGGATATTGCATTTTTCTCGGCCATTCCCTAATTTCCTAGAAGACTAAAAAACAAAAAACGGTTTCACGTTCCGCGGAGGCTAGATACAGGTCCATGGCTACTACAGTTTGTGAATTGCAGTGGCTAACCTACTTGGCTAAGGACCTTGCTCTCCCAGTTTGCACTCTCATACCTCTTTGGTGTGATAACCGAGCTGCGTTGCATATCACGGCCAATCCGGTGTTTCATGAACGTACTAAACTTGGACATTGACTATCATATCGTTCGCAGCAAGTTTAAGGGAGGACTCATCTCACCACGCCATATTTCTTCTTCGATGCAGCCTGTTGACTTGTTTACTAAGGCACTTGGAGGAGCTGACTTCAGGCGTTTCTTNCACCTGTTGACTTGATTGATTCACATATGCATGGAGTTTACTCTTTTCTTTTTATTCTTCTTTTATTGGTCAGGGCTTAAGCGTGTTTCACTTGAAAACTCGTTGCATTTTATTTTTCTTTATTCTGTCTTTTGTTATTTTCCCTCAGCACACGTGTTAACCGGTAATTGGTTACACGTGTTGTCTTGTTATTGGGGATTTGTTATCTTCATCCTTTAGTAGTGAGGTAGGATCGAATTATGTACTAAACTGAAATTTGAGCTCGAAGCTCTTATCTTTCATGGCGATTTAAGATTTCGGAATTATTGTTTTGTTCGATCTTTTCATTACTGTTTTGAGCTCGTTCTACACCACCTAAAGTTATGATGGTCTCTTTAAAGTGGTAGTGTTATACTTTCAAAGTAATCAATTTTCAAAAAAGAGGGATCATATATAAATTCATAACCCAGTAAAATATTGATAACAACAGACGTGGTATAACTAATAATTAGCATTCAAAGCTTATCTAAAAAAATAATAATTATCATAAATATTTCACAATTCAAAATTCTTTATTTGTGTTATTTTTTATGTATGCATATTATACGAATATTGCAACAGTTAAAAAAGAAAACGAAGTCACAACTCAAAACGGGGGTTTATATGAAAATTAGTAATGAAGGAATATAACTAACTTGACGATTTGGAAACCCAGAAGAACCGCATCACTAAAAATTATAATTGTTAGTCCACCATATTCAACTTAGAAAATATTAGATAAATAAATAAATAGACGATAAAAAGAAACCTTAAAAGAAGAAGAAAATTAGCAGGATTACAAAAATGGGTGACATAACTATATGTATGGAATAAGTGCTATTGTTTTGTACACCTTCAATAGTTGACAATCGAAATACAGTTATTAATTCTGGTTATATGTTCTATATATATTGGCTAAATCACACATTCTTAGCGCACTATCTACTTCTAACTGGCACCTTTTATGGATTCAACCTACCAGTACCATGCCTTTTGCTTGTTGTAACAAAGTTTAATTGAGGTAGAAGTTGGTCCAACTTAAAAATAATATAAATATATATATATAAATAATATTTTCAAATTCATAATTCTTTATTTGTATTATTTTTTTATGTAAGTCTAACTTCACGATTTGGAAACCCAAAACCGCATCACTAAAGATTATTATCATTAGTCCTCCATATTCAACTTAGAAGAGATTAGATAAATAAATAATAAATACACAAAAAGAAACCTTAACCCCCTCATAGAAACATAAGAACAAAACCAAACACAACTACAATTTCCCTCCCAAAAGAAGAACCATTTCAGAAAACCAACCAACTCAAACCTCAACTCCCATTAATCGGCCACGAAGGCAAGACCCTGCCGCCATTCACCCGAACCACCTCGCTAACCTCAACATCAATCAGATCGTCATCAAAGTCGATATCATCAAATTCGTGAAATGCATCATAAACCGGCTCAAGATTTTTATCCTGGTTTTTTGCCAGCCTCTTTCTCGTCCGGCCAGTGCTCTCGACAAAATCATCGTCGTTTGAGGTACCACTCGAGACCTTGGTGTCATTTCCCCTTTTTCTCGAATCCGAGCTGTCATTACTGCTGGTGCCGTTTTTATCCCTGTTATGTTCTCTGATGGTGACCTCTATAGTTTCCAGGACACGATCACCGTATCTCATGAGCTTGCCACTGAATAAAAAATTACAAAATAAATATTGGTTTTTGGCTTAGTGGATATGGGATTTGGAGGTTTTGGTATTTGTATCNAAGAAGTTACAAAATATATATTGGTTTTTGGGTGAGTGGTTATGGGATTTGGAGGTTTTGGTATGTGTATCGATCAACTTACTCTCCAATGCCGTCAACTTCTAGGAGCTCGTCTTTGGTTCTAGGAATAGCCCTGCAGATGCTTTGTAATATGGTAGTTCTGGACAGGGAGAGAAAATAGAAGCAAGTAAGTTGGGTGCCTTTGGTGTGATTTCACAACTTAAATGGGGTCTTCATGCAAAAATATTATGCTGAGCTATCTTATTTTGAAGTTCAAAAACCAATTTCATGCTTATTTCAATTTTAACAGAAAGCACTCATGGAAGAGGTATTTGGTTAAGTAGAAACTAGAAAGTTAGAAACAGAGCTCAAGCGGGTGTTCATGATTTCCTGAAGAGGAACTTGAAATCCCGAATGGAAATAAAGAAAGAGGATGATGAGAACAAGAACATAACCGTACGTGAAAACGTGATGAGCACCCAGCCCAATCTCTTCAGCTTCATTGATAAGGGTGGTTCTAAGTGCTCGCAATGCACCATATAATTTGGCTGGAAGGCCCTGTGCAGGAAAAGGAAGAATATTGAGAGATAAACAACTGCACCTATACTTGCTGGGTGGTTTTTGCAATAAAACCACCAGTTTTTAAATTTTGTTGATTAAAAACTCGAAAAAGTGTACCAATTTCGCTTCGGATTGAGGTTGGGCTGCTGGAATATCCATCTGCGTAAAGCTTTTCTTTTCCATAGGCAATGAGACTTTTGCTGGAGTGGCGGCTGCTGATCGACTTGACTTAGATGCTTTGGCACCACCTGGGAATCTGAAGGTACAAATTCACCAGAAAATGGTGACGGTAAAAGCAAATAAAGAGACGAAGACAGTAAGCACAATTATTAATGGATAAACGTGGCAGCTCCCAATTTAGGTAAAGGATGTGGGCCATATGGCTTTGATGGTCTGTACTATTATTTGGTGATTCTCACTGATTTTTTAAGAAAGCAACAATGTGAACCAAGGGAAAAGAAAATGTAAATTCAAAACAAGAATCTGATCTGCACATTCCACTGAGCCAAGGTCTAATGATTTGTCATTGGTTTTTGGACTGAAAAAGAAATAAATAAAATCAGAAGATTACATTCAGATTATTGTAATGACAAAAGGGTAAAACCTTAGTTTAATTGTCTGAACTCCAGAAACAAGATTGTTGGCCTTGGGTCCATTCACCTGCGATAAAGAGCCATATGACAAAGGCCGGTCTTAAATATGAGGTTGGGGATTTCCTTCTGCTTTCCAAATAATACTATCCAAAAAAGAGAGAGGAAAAAAAAAAAAGTTGGAGAAACACCTTCAATACTGACGATACAGATCCAAACATATCACTTTTCTTCACATCTTCAATCAGGATATCTTCAGTGACCAGATGACGGAGTACACGAGATGCTTCACCCTTGGCCAAAAGTTTTCCAGCTCCATGCAATCTCAACTTCTCATGTTTGTGTTTCTTGACCTACATTTTTCATTAAAAACAGTGTCAAATAACCTGCCCAATACATGAAATAGAAGTGAGGTCACTTAAGGTCTTTGGAACATACAAACTGGTTCAAGGAACCTCTGTACACCTCCAGGAGATGAGCAGCTGAAAACTGCTGGTTTGTTGTCTTTACTAATTCGACCTGTAAAGCATATTTCATACCGTGAAATAACGTGACACAATCAGGAATGAAATAACATTGGGAAAATAGAATAAACAGTTAAAGACAACAGCTGAGACATTGTCTATGTAACAGATTTACAGAAATCAATAGTAAATTGATCGTAAAACCCAAACCAGCTGCTTTGCAGTCTGAGTCACATCTTTCTCCACATAGTTTTGACTCTTGAAACAATTATCGCATGTTTTCTGGCAGTTCATAGAATCAAACTTCTCTCCAAAATGAATTAGTTGTAGGAGACGTCGACAATCAACATCATTTTCACAGTAGCTAACCTGAAAATGACCAAGTTAGAATGTGAGGATAAGAAAAGGAAAAAAAAAAAGAAAAGAAAATTTTAACAAAACTACCCATTATTCTATTTCATATCCTCAATTCTTTTCAAATACAAATATCCCTGAAGTTTGTATTTACTGTACAAATCTAAGGTTACACTTTAATGAGAAAATCACCAAATATTATGAGTATTTGTAATAATGAAAGATGACAGGGATTTGTTGGAACTACACTAAGCGTCATAACTAGTTTCTGGAGATAATCTCAAGTATTAAAACAGAAAAAAGAAAAAAAGTAATTATTCTTTCAATACCATTCGTAGCAGATTCTCGGAGTTTGTCTCCAATAACCTCCCTGAAGGTGCCGTATTTGCACGATGATAGCCTGACGATAGGGAACTTTGCTCAAAAGCTCCTTGACTAATCATGTGTTTCACGCGAATCTGCAGAAAGAAAAACACACATGAAAAGGAGATATACATAAGAAGGTGACATAAGCCAGAATATGTGGCGAATGCAGATAGTAATATTATAACAAGCTAAAAGGAAGCACCTTGTGGAACAAATAAAAGAATTTTTTGAGCAAATTAGAAGATAGCTTTTGATGTTGGAACTTACATAATCACTATAACTGTAGTATAAAACACAAGTCGAAGGCAGACCATCCCGACCAGCACGACCACACTCCTACAAGTAATAAGGTTGAGTCAAACAAAACTAATGAAATCCAATCATTTTATCACAAGCATTAGAACATATTATAAAGGCAGACAAGAAAGACAATGTGCTTCAGAGAAAACCTGATGGTAGCCTTCAATGGATTTTGGAAGAGAATGGTGAATGACAAACCGAACATCAGGCTTATTAATACCTGAAAATACTAATGTTAGTGCAGATCTAGTGCAAACCTAAAGGGAGCAAAACTGTAGGACTGTACCCATCCCGAATGCCACGGTCGCACATATAACGTTGATCTCATCCTTGCTCCACTGCTTCTGAACCATTGCACGCTGCTCAGAGTCCATGCTGCCATGGTAAAAGGCTGCTTTGTGTCCATACTCCTGCAAAATGCATGTGCTACCAACATATAATTGCAAAAATATCTATACTTTATATAATGGCTTGAAAGCAGTATTAATATTACAGGACAGTCTAATTCTACTGTTACTCACTTCCTCATCTGATTATCGCTAGAGCTAATCATTAGAGCATGAACTTTAATAGTTTTGGTTTAAGATTGGATAGAAATAAAACAAATGAAATAATTGATATTTCAACCAATAATGATAATCTTGACAACATTGTCGGAATTGACACCTCCTGTATTTCAGATCTCAGGTACAGCTAGCAGCCTGTCTACACAAGGCTAAAAGGCTTAATTCAAAACACTCATGCTTAATTTACAGCAGTACTTATAAAACACATTGATGAAAGATGATAGCCAGATCATAGAAGACTCATGCAAAGTAGCCTGTCGTAAAAGGTATCAGAGGACTGCTATAAAAAAGTTATCAAGTTCCACATCTCAGACTGTTCCTACTGGTTTCTTAACTCAGTGCAGCAATCTGTACTTTTCTGTATGAAGCCCGGGACAACAGTCCAGTTTCCAGCAAATCCACCAAGAATATGGAAAAAGTCAACCCATACTTAGAGCCCCACACATGAAAGTTTCAGAAACAGTTTGGACATTGACAAAATATCAATTTAATGGTATCAACAGTCTGAGTTATTGGTGTGTTTTAATTTAAGTACTACCTGAATTATATGAACCATGCTACCTTGTAGACCCAACATCCTCCTTATGAGCATAAAAATTTGCAAGGAAATGACATCATAGATTTCAAAAGTGGACAAACCTGTAACTTTTCAGCAACTTTTTCACAATCCATTCTCGATAGACAGTATATGATTCCACATTCATCAAAATGACTCTCTCTGATAAACTTGTCAATCTCTTCCACACACTTCTTTGTCTTTGGAACCACAGAATATCTGCAATGTTTGCAGCATTAAGAAATGGTGATGTCATGCCATATAGATCTTATATCAGCACTTACCGTAAATTTGGACGATTAAAACTTTGCCGAAAGACAATGCAGTTTACCAGACCTAGTGCTTGCACAACATCTTCCTTAACGCTAATAGTAGCAGTAGCAGTTAAGGCCAAGACAGGTATGTTCGGAAACTTCTGTTTCAACATACCAAGACCCTGTGCAGGCAACACAACCAATTTACGTGATATCAATTTAGTGAATGGTACATTATAGGCAATAATATTTGTTAAACTCAAAATATGTTGTAATGTGATAAGAATATGAAACTTACAAACTTTCTGTAAATCATTTAAAGAAAAACATAATACCCACATGTGTGAACAAGTTAGAGTGCAATATGAATTCCAGGTTCATTTCACATGGTACCTAAAATTAAACAGTAAATGATATAGCACGGCTGTACCTGGTAATCTGGTCTAAAATCATGTCCCCATTGGCTAACACAATGAGCTTCATCAATGACAATACGAGCAAGAGAGTCACGTGAATGTAAGCTCTCCAACTGACGCAGTAGAGCATCACTCCTGCAGGGATGAAATGAGAGAAATTCAGCCACTAGAACCTCAGTTACTAAGAAGAAAAGTGAACTATCCTGCCAAATGCCAATGAATCTTATGCAATAAGACACATATAGGAATCCACCGCATCATCATCATTATCATAATCATCATCATCAAGATAAATTGGAAAATAAGTAATTACTCCACTGCAGCCAACATTCCTTTTTTGTGACATTGGTCTCATCATTCAAGTCAACCCACACTAGAGGCCCTGATTTGACAACCACTAAATTTGATCGGCATATGAATTTATGCTACAAAGTAAGTATTTCCATCAGATGGTATCCAATAATGTTAGTACCAGAAACAGCAGTTACAGACACACATGCCTCATGACTTACATCAACTTAGAGTGCGTGAACATACTAGAGGCAGGACCAAACATTGATCTACAAGCAAGTCATATGAAAGATTGAGTTTCTAGGAATCACTACTTACTTAGCAACTTTCTCTGGAGTGACATATAACAACTTGTACTTGCAATAATCAGAACTAAGCTCTCTTAGAATCTCCTGCTGCTCTGTCCACTCCATGTTGGCACTCAGATAAGAAGCAGGTATATTTGCCTGGTATGCAGTTTGATTGAAATAACGTCACGCTGGAGGTCAACAGAGTCGAAAAGAAAAGTCCAATTTCAAGTATCACATATCATATTTTCAAATTACCTGCAGTAGATGCATTATTTGGTCTTGAATGAGAGAAACGAGAGGAGAAATGACCAAAGTTATGCCAGGACATATAAGAGCAGGGAGCTACAGGAAACCAGGATTCACAAAATGTTAATGTCCATCAAAGAGTACTGAATAAACAAGATTCCAATTCCCTAGCAAAACACATCCAATTTAAACCACAAGTAACATTAACACAAACAAGTCAGTAAGTAAAAGTCAGTACCACGAGAAATTGGTAAGATCATAACATAGATCTTTTGGTTAGTTGTGACTTGTGAGGGCACTCAAACTAGAAACCTGAACGATTACCATAACATAGATCTTTTGGTTAGTTGTGACTTGTGAGGGCACTCAAACTAGAAAGCTGATCGATTACCATACCAGAGATGTACTACAGCAACATATTTCCAATTTTATTCCATTGCTTAAATCTGTTTTTCTAGGAACCACCACAAAGCTTCAGCATAAGTAATAATAGCACCATTACACAATTGCTATTACAGTATTTATTGGTCAATCAACTGAAAAATCTACACTCTTACGATCAAATGCTGCTAGTGGATAGTGTAACTTGGATACAGCAGACCGCCCTATCACTTCCATGCTTAAGTAGAGAACAATCATTAAGAATACATATAATGCTGATAACAACTACTGATAATAGATAAGAAAGTGAGAACCATCGGCACAGAATCTTAGATCCAAATTGAAACAGTAATGTCTGGATTGTAAGTACACTTAAAAGTACTGGCACCAGGAGAAAATCTGAAAGGAGAGAACAATCGGAAAACATATATAATACATACCCTTTCCAAATTCAACATTCAGCTCGAACTAAAACTGGAAAAATATAGAAATGGGATAGATGACGATATGCTAAACCAGAAATATTGCATAATTGGGAAGCTGGATAACATGTTAAAAACAAAATAGATGTGATATTGAAGAAACAATATAACCTGATAAGTCAAGCTTTTACCCCCTCCAGTTGGCATTAATACAAAAACATCGTGGCCGCTCATTGTAGCATTGATCACCTCCCTTTGGTTTGGACGGAAAGAATGATTGCCAAACACTTTTTTGTTGTTTGTCTGAACAAGATGGACAAAAGTTAGTGCACTAGTGGATTTTTAAATGAGAGTTCAGATGCTATGCGAACCTCTAGTTTCTTTGTCCAAGCAAATTCCCGACTGCTCCATTTTTTGTCAGTTGAACCATCTATGTAATTTATGTCAATATTTTTTGGAATATACGGTTCTCTCTCCACAGGAGCATTTGATAAACCAAACCCATCTGTAGAATAAAATGATGAAGATGATTGGCCCCATCTATCAAATGCATATGGCTCATTGTTTGCTTGAAACTGGGAATCTAGCCTTCTGGGTTCAATTCTAGATGGCATTGGTGAAGCGGTGTCATGTTGACATGGCATATGGGTTGTTGTGGAAGCAGAAAAATGAGACATTTTCCTTTCCTCGTTCACCAACGTTGTTTGGAGATGTTTCTCAAGCTGCTGAATCTGCTTCCTCAGCAGTTGCCTACAGTAACAGGTACATATCATAAATGCTGGATGATTTCATTACTCAATGATTAAACCAAATTCAACATATTAGCACATGATATACACAGATAAGAAAAACATGTTGATCATTCTGAACCTGATTACTCAACAATCAGATTCTCGTACATTTTCATATCATTTTGTGAAATATCCTATTTCCAAATATTAAACCAAATTGCAATTACCTCGTAAAGTAGCAACAAAGGCGAGGAGAGTTAAGCATACCTTTCTTGTTGAAGGGCCTGGATTCTCTCTGAATTGATCTCACCAACATTATCAAGAAGATCATTTGATATACATATTAGAGTATCCTTCATAGCCTGCAGGTGACTTGAAGCTTCAGGACAGATGCCTAGCTGCACCATTCAGTAGCGAGAATAAGATAGGTAGCAAACTTGACTCATTGAGGATTAGTTTAATTAAATGATTACCTTCCGATTGTGACTGCACATTAAGCACAATTCTGGAGGTAAATTTGTTCCCTCAGCAAAAAAAATGCCTTTATTTGTATGTGGGGTAGTTTGGGGAAATCTAGAGACTGATGGTAGAGGAGTTGACTGGTAATGATCCAAAACAATTTGATCCACATCGATATTCTGAAGAATAGAAATAATAGTTAACGACCAGATGTATTATTACTAACTAAAATTATGAACTAAAAACAGAAAAGGGAAAGTAGAAAAAATTAAGTTCAGGTAATCATTATCATCCAATAACCGACGGAACAAGAAAGCTTTTTGTTCTTCACAATAATTTTCAACTAATGAACGTGAGAAAATATAGAAATTAACCTATATAGACCATTAAGGGCAAACAAACCACCACCTGCCCTTGAGAAAACTGAAAGCCAGATCACACTCATATGGAAGATGTCAAGAATTACCTCCAAAATGTCATCATCATCCATGTTATCATCATCAATGACATTAGTTGAGGACTTGGTGGGGGCATTCACTCTGGGGCGAGGGATCTCTTTAGACTCAAATGCTCGTGATGCCCAGGTACTGCCCGAGTTTCTATTGGTTTCACCAGTATGTACTTCATCTTTTGCAGGGTTTTGATAATTCTGGTGACATCCTGTGCTTTTCAAACCAGATGAGCATTTAGATGTTTGTCTTGTGCTCTGAGATACGAAAGCATTTCCATCTTTGCATAGAGAAAGAGTTTTTCCAGGTTTGATATAACTTCGAGAAGATAACTGAAGGCCAGACAGGAGCTTCCAAGCCTGCTGATGTTTCACGAGACAATGTATATTTTACGAAAATAGAAACTATGAATTTGATTTGAAAGCAAAGTCAAGTTGTATGATGCAATGTAATATGCGTTGACATAAGGCCTTAAAGTACTCTGGACGAAGAAGCTTGTACTGCACCATGGCAAGACATTTTATTATATTCAACCATCAGCACACATGCTGCTACTAGGTAAAGGGTCAAAGTAAATGAGAAACAAGATTTCTGCACTATGGACCAACAGACTAAAGTTTAAAATACTGAGAAATTGAGATATATGAAATTCAGTAAGCTAGGAAAGCAAGCATTTTAGTTACAAGAAGACAATACAAATCAGAGAATTAAGCACAATAAATTATATAATTTTCCAGGAAGGTTTGCTTTGACAGGCCTTTTATGAACCTGCATATCTGCATACCCGCCTTCTCGAAAGCACTCGCCTTTTTTATAATCACCACTATACAAGGTATCTCATACATTCTACCTTCTCCATGTTAAACCATTGTACGCTCTAATTATCTAATCTGGTTCTGTATTTCTCAACATAAATGAACTTTTTACAGACTATTACATCCGATTCCTCCGTTGTCCAATGCTAAATAATAGTGCTTATTCAGGCATTTGTAGTTTGCACCAAGCAAGTAAAGTGTAACACTTTTGCTTTATTTGTGACAAAAATGTTTCTCGTTACAAACCATAAAAGACCGTGTTAACTTTCACAAAATGAATTTAAAAAGTCACCTTAAGTACAGACTCAACAGTGTTGGCTCATAAAGACATGAAGTCATAAATTACAGTTCAACACAAAGAATAAGGATTGACGAAATATTATTTACTAAAATGTCCAATGCACTCTCAATGAAATAAATCTCCAAACACGCCACTTTGTTCACAATTTATTGTTGTAGCAGCAAGCAGTTGCACTACACAGGTTGGTATGAAGGTGTTTGGCAGCATATAAAGATACAGCTGAGATGATTATCGTTTATGAATTACAAATATACCAAAGGCAACCATGTAATGAAACAACGAAAAGGAACTGCTCATTCATAACTGATGCTTCACCTTTTCAACTTGTGCCGTGTTCCTTCCTACATCCCGAACTTGACAAATCACAGACCTAGGAACAGAAGAAATAATATAAGGATGAGGAAATAGGAACTTCAACAAGGCCACCATTAAGTAAACGCTCCCACCCAAATCCACATAAATATTATTAACTTCTTAGATCTTATATTATATAGTGTATGGTGTCAGAATTAATGAAAAGCTGATTATGAATAAGTGAGACCTACAAATACAGAAACATAAAAATATACATGAACGTCTTTATGAGGGAATAGCCTTTGTACCAACTATAATACAAGTCCTTCGCTAGATTCGTATCCAAAGAACCCCAGTAAGAAGATTGATACACTATACCAACTCCCAAAACCGAAGAAAGACAAAATGTAAACCAAAGATACAATTTCATAGTGCTAACGGTTTTCAACTAAACAATGGAAAGATTGCTTGAAAAGTATTACCTTGCACTCATTGCTTCATCAGTTTGAGGTTTTTGAGTTGACAACGAGAAAAGGAAGTTTGCACTCAAGAATTTATCTTGACTCAAGAAGTCGTTGTGTGCTTTTGCATGTTCTGACCAATTAACTTTTTTCACTTTGTAGCTGCAATTTATATCTTCATTACAATTGCCTTCCCTACGTTCACAAATAGTATTTTCATTAGTTAAAAGAAAGTAATACAGGAAAATAAACAAAATTAACACTAACACAAAGGAAAGTACAAAGTACTTGCCTTGTGTGTTTTCCCTTCATCTTTCATCAATACATCCCACTGGTCTTCTGAGTTTGTCCAGTAACACAAAATCACTTCACAAGGAGTGACGTACAGTTAAGAACACAACTCTGTGAGAGTCATATAAACAGAACACTCCCTCAAAGAAGCTGTGGCATCAACAGCGAGTGAGCACCTAAATTGAAATTTATCAAACAGGCTATGATTAACACAAGCAGTGAGAAAATTATAAACAGATTTTGCCTTACATCGAATTCTATCTTACTTTTGCTTCATTGAACATGTAAAGCTAGAGCATTATCGAGACACAAAATTAAAACAAAATACTACAATTATAGACAGAAATGAGTTCTATGCAGCTAATAGTGTTTGAAATAAATTAATCAATCCATGTAGAAAGAAACATCGGACAACTACAACTCTCCTCAATGAAAAAAAAAAAGAACAACAACAACAACAACCAATGCAAAGCGCACGGAGTTTTGCCTGCTCCCAACTGTAATTGGCTCCATGAAATTTCTATTTTTCATTTTCTTCAAGAAAAAATAAAAACTCATTACAGGAAACACACACAACAACAAAGCCATAACACCTGAAAACTGGGGCAATAAATGAAACTGCATTCCTCATTTCATAATCAGGTTTTCGTCCAAAGTGCATCTAGAGATTTCCGCGGATTGCCAATAAAAATAGGATTTTTTTTCAGTAAAAATATCCCGCGCTTGAGCTCAATCGAATGCATCCAACATTTCTGAAAGGGTATAAATAACAATAAGTAAACTGCATAAAACTAACCGTTGTAAGTTCAAATTAAGCGCTGAGACCACCGAAGTACCAAACTACTTCAGCAGGTTCAGATTTCACTTAATTAATCGTGTTGCATTTCCGTATCTTTTGCAAACGAAATTGTACTGGCGAAATGGAAATGGGGAAGGGAGAAGAAGCTTCAGAACTACGAAACTCTGAAATGGCGGGATACGAAAAATTACAAAAAAATCTTTAGGGCTTGCCCCGGCTCAAAAGGAACGTATAAATATACTGTTTATAAACCACTCATATAACCAAAAAATTATGCAATTTGAAAATCAATAATAAAAATAAACTACAAATAAACCATTTATAAACTGTGAAAGTTTGTAAAGTGCAATTAAAACTAAAAATCTTATAAATATATAAATAAAAATAAATTTACAGATGATGGTTTTAATTTTCTCAATACATTTTATGAAGTTTTTATTTTTAATTACACTTACACTAACTTTCATGGTTTATGAATAGTTGATTTGTGTTTAACTAGTACGTGACTTGTGCGATGCACGGAGAACAATATTGTAGTGTAATCCGGATTCGGTTTGTCTTTGACTGAAGGTTTGCACTAGCACTTATGATAAGTATTGAACAGGACCGCAGAAAGATAAGATTATGAGACTCACTAATCGTAGTTGTAATCTAGACCTTCAGTAATTAATGTGTCCTCTAAAGTCGTAATATAATATAAAACAGACATATATATTCATTATTTGTTTATTTGATTTACCAAGCGCGATTCCTATTATGCTAGGATGACATACTCGGTACTTTGGTAAATAAAGGTGTTTATATGATGTGCTGTTATAAATTACTTATGGTCACTATGTCCCAGTGCGCTGGGTTGATGACGTCCCCGAAATTAGCTCAGTAAGGAATATTATGTCAAGCCCTGCAGGCGGATGTGTATTCGACATAATGGTTAAAGATCTAAGTGGTACTAGTTTCGGAAATGAATAAGAAGTTGATTAATTACTTTGTCAGTAATTTAATTAATCGACGGACGTTATATCTTAAACATAGGGAGCTAAGTCGGTCAATTAGATTAATATTAATTAATTAAGTGGAGGTTCGAACTTATTGAATAAATTAGAGTTAAATGGGGAGAGTAATAATATTACTCTAGTAGAATTTTTATTATTTAATTCTATTTTGGAATTAATTATGTTCCATAATTAAGATTCCCTAAGGAGAGGAATACTCCTTCTAGAATATTACCTAGGGTTATGAAACTATGGAGTCTTCTAGAAGGTAATTAGGGTTAGGAGGAATATTATCCTAGATGAGAAAAGATATAGAACATGATTAGGATTCCTAAGCCTAATGGGATAAGTCCATATTTAGTACATCCTTAAGGTCCCTAATGTAACCTATAAATACACCATGTCTTGAACTCTCCTCCTACACAGAAGACACACGATCAGTTTAAGGGTTCCTACGGGAAAAAGGAAATCGAGTGTTCTATACATTGAGAGTTCAGGAGATCCAGAAAATCGCCCACCGAGATTTTTCGGAATAGTTGTTTAGGTAATACATTAGAAGATCTTGAGGTGATAAAATCGAGCCTTATTTGGTTCTCAGTATTCCGGCCATTCTCAGCAGCTAACCGTCACCGTGGGTCTCGCTGGAAATTGCCTCAGCCGTCAGCCGCTGCGAAGTCTCCCTACCACATAGCTCGTGCAAATCCGCGCCGCAGCCCCAGGTGCCCGGCGGACCTCGCTCAGCCATGCGCGCCTACGTCCCATTTCGTCACCGCACGCAGATGGCGTCCAGCATTCTTGCCCCGCGAAGATCATGCGCGCCGCCGCGCATAGACGACATCCAGTCCTCGCCGTGCGAGATGTTCACGCGCCACTAGATGAGTCGCGCATGCTGATTGCTTGGAGTCCGCGCGCACATAGTCCTCGTCCGTCTATGAGATATGTTGCGTACGCCAAAGTTGTCGCCCGCGCCTCAGTCCGCGCAGGAGTAGGAGAGTTGCGCCGCACGCGCCCGTCCTTCTCGCACACGCTCGTGCACGATAGTGCCCCTGCGTGCCTGGACGCGTGAAGGCCACCTGCCAGCGTGCTCAGCAACACGCGTCCGTGCCAGCCTCGACCCTGCGAGCCAGCACTGGGCCCCAGCATCCAGTCCCGGCCCGAACCAGACCAGCACGGCCCAGACCCGGTCCAGACCGATCCAACCCGGTTCAGCCCAGTCTAGAAGTTCCGGTTTGTGCTCGAGGAGGTTCTCGAGCAGTCCGACTAACCTACCGAAGATCCGAGACAACCCGGCGAGTTCGACGAGCAACTGGAGATGCATTGATGAGGTCAAGTCCGGCTGCCCAACGGACTATGCGGTTCAGACGATCTTTTATAGAGGAAATCAGAAACGTCTCAGAATCGGCAAAAATTTTAAACCGTAAGTCCTAATCCTAACTATAGATTCCGCTGCGTTAGGATTTATTATTCACTATATTTGAATGTGCACAATAGCCGACGTTTCTAATAGAACCAAACATCCCTTGCTTGATATACCACAAGGGACACAAGCCAAGAGTGTTGAATTTTTTTCTTGAATATGGCATATAAGGCGAACCCTCAAAATGGGTGTATGGACTATGACAAGCTTGAGGAGAAGACATTAGATTATCGACCCAAGATATTTATCTTTGGTGGGAGCTCATAAATGCAAGGTCTAGGCAGAAAACAGATAAGTATGGTACGATATTGTTATGTGATGTAGACCAAATTAGCGGTCTTGTAGCTTCGAAGGAGTGCATGAGCTCTTTTGAATATTGCGACAATGTTACATCTACAATCCATAAAAGCCTTTGGGATCCAAGGGGAGGAATTATTTTCGACAAGAGAATCTACGAGACACCCGTGACCACTTTTCGAACTTTATCTTTGAGGACAAGGATATACTCGAATAGAGCGGAAATGATACGAACTAGAGATGTACCCGCAGCAGCAGGGCCCACTTCGCGCCGAATGATCGCACGAGCAGCAGGGAGTCACGCGAGCTTCGCGCTGCGACGCCCGTCGCGGCCCAACAGAGGCTGCTTGGGTCCGAGGTGCCGCACCGTGACGCTCGTCGCGACTCAACAGAGACCTCAGATATCCCAAGTCTCGCGGCGCAAGATGTGCCGCATCGTGACGCGGCTTGAGCTTGGACGGGAGGCGCAAAAGTTAGGACTTAGGAGCTTGAGCAACGATTTTCCTTAAGTTTTATTTTTCAAATTCTTAGGATTTTCGTGGAGGTTTTTTTGTATTTGTCTTTGCCTTTAGAATTTGAGGTATTTTTCATCTAGTATTTTAGGCAATAAGAAATAAACTACGCTCATTTTCGAGCACAAAAATTGTGTCAACCAACTTTCATCATTTATAGTATGATTGGTATATTAGAATAGAATTTGGTAGGAATGAAATGATTATGTGAAATGAATGAAACAGGTTTTGCATTGATGTGTTTGATATGCAGAAGGAATAAGACCGGAATGAAATGACATTATCATCCTATATTATCATTTATCACTAGTTTATAGAAAAAATATATTTATATTAATGTTATTTTCTTATTTATGATAATTCTAATATTATTTATATTTTAAAAATACTATATTTTATAAAATATACTTATGTATTGTTGCACCTATCTTATATAATAAATAAGTGAATTATGTATTTATCTACGTATTAACAAATACAAATATATCATTACTTAAACGTCTATAAGCATGTGTGGTCAAATATACTCTTTTATAATATAATTCAATTTATGAATACATATATACTATATATGACTATATATATTAAAATAAGATTTTTCTAAATTATTTATAAATGCATTTTTTGTGAGTTTTATTTTTATATAAGTATTTAATATATCTAGTTAAAATATGACTAATAAATAAATATAGTTTTTTATTTTTTATTTGAAATTTATTTTTTGAAATGATTTTATTTAATATAATTTAATCATGATAATATAGTATATATTATATATATATTTATTATTATTATTATTATTTGTTAATTTTATTTTTTGAAAAATTGATTCATAAACATATAGGAATGAGAAAACTATCCATTAGCTATAGAATGGCTAATTCTATATAGATAGATTTTGCAGTTCTCATTGGAAGGTGATTCTCTTCTAAAAAATACCAATTATGGGAATATGAATGAATTATGGTGTGTTTGTTAAAGGAATAATTTGAGTGAATTAACTCAAAGTAATTTTTTTGAGTTAATTAGGATTAATTTAGAAAAATTGGTGTAGTTAGTTGTTAGTGGGATTTTGAGTTTATATATAAAAATAATATTTAAACTAAAATAATTAAAATTAGTTTGATATAAAAGTAGAAGATAGATGGTATGATGTGATGATTAGTTAAAATTATGTGAGTGGATGGATAATGAATTAAAGTTAATATGATGTGTAAAAATGATTTATTGTTATTATTTAATGATTAATTGTTATTATTTAATTATATTGATATTGATAATATTGAGGATAGTGAGTTAATTAAAGTTAGTTAAATTTTGATTAGAAGGGGAACGATAATTTCATTCCACGATCCACAATCGCGCAGCAATATGACGCGATCTGACAGAGTGTTGGAGAGGTTTTTTGCGCCAGTTTAGAGCTACGAGTGAGAGATAGCGCTGGACTTGGACTAAGGAGACGGGTCCCAAGCTCTACAATATCGGCAGAAATCCGTCGCGCCATTGAAACCCATTTTCTAATACCAAAAATCACCCGAAAATCCGAAGCTTTCAAGTTTCAACTGTCGTCGTTTTCAAATTTTATGGGGTTTTCCTTGTGCCCCCAACCACTTAATTCTTCTTTCATTCATCATCGATTCCGGCCGTCCATTCCGCTAGGATTTTACAGGACGAAGGTTTCGTGTCGAGCAATGCAGCAAGGGGAGGAAACTGAGAATGCGGGTAAAGTGCCGGTTCCTCACGTGTTGACGGTGGCTGGCTCCGATTCCGGCGCCGGCGCCGGCATCCAAGCCGACCTCAAGGCTTGTGCCGCGCGCGGTGTTTATTGTTCCACCGTCGTCACAGCTGTCACAGCTCAGAACACCGTCGGTGTACAGGTGCTGTCATAATTTACACATTGAGTCGAATGCAGAAAATTCATTAATTTATGTGTACTTACTTTGATTTTTGGTTTTTTATGCCGTCTTCTTTATCTCTCATGGTTATCGAATTGGATTTGAATGATCTGATGTTAGCATCCCATTTCACTATCCTTATGAAATTATGCTTTTTGATTAGGGTGTGAATATTATCACTGAGGATTCCGTTAGGTTGCAGTTGAAGTCCGTGCTATCTGATATGCACCCTGATGTTGTAAGCCATATTTAAACATAACCTTCTTCATGTTTTTTCCCTCTCTTTTTTTATTTTACACGAATCTTTTTGTGATGTGATGATGATGATTTCTGAAATGACAGGTCAAAACAGGTATGCTTCCTTCACCTAGAATAGTCAAGATCCTCTGTGAAAGCCTCAAGGAATTCCAAGTGAGAGGTAAATTCATACCAGCAAGTCATCTAACTGGTTGTTTTACACACTTTTGGGCTTAGTTTAGTTGTGGTTCATGTTTACAATTTGAATTTTCGTGAAGGAAGCTCTGGTGGTAGATCCTGTCATGGTATCTACAAGTGGTGATGTACTGGCTGGTCCCTTGATTCTGTCGAGCCTAAGGTATTTTTCGTAATATAGAGTGCCCTTTTTATTCTTGTTGGTTGAGATCATTACATCTTCACCTGTGTATCCCAAGAGCTACTGTATATTTGGCAAGAACGAGCATGAAGTGATTCTTGGAAACATGTCTTTTCATGGTTACCCTTTTCAAATATCTTTCCAGGATGTCTTTAACGGCCATGGCTAAACACTACCTATGCAGCCACTTGGTTATACCAAAGGGAAAGTCTGTTGTATTCTTTGATCTGATTGGTGAATTGATTGGACACTGCCAAGGATCAATACAAATTTTGAACAGTTCTTTTAATAAACCAATACATTCCTATTCCAGTCAGAGCACCAAACTTACCATATAAAATAAAATCATGAAATAGAAAAGAATGGTACAAGGTTATTTTCTAACCAAATTTTTCTTTGGATATCATTCATATGAAGCTCCAGTTGCATTTCTTCCCCATTAGTTTATTTTCTGTAAGTATACTAAAGAATATGCTTTATCATTGACCTTTCCCTTTCAGCAANAGATGTGTAGGTGTTTGTTTATTTTTCTAATTCTACCTATTTTTCTCTTTCCTGATGACAGGGAGGACCTTCTTCCCCTGGCTGATGTAGTAACGCCAAATTTAAGAGAAGCATCTGTTCTACTTGGTTGTGCACCATTGAAAACAATTGCTGATATGCGTTTTGCTGCAAAGTCTATACATGATTTTGGCCCTCGGTTAGCTCTCATAAATCGGATTAGTTTATAGTGCTTGATGATATGCCTGTGTTGTAATCTGTGGTAGTGATTGGCAGCTCCTCTTTCTTGAAGAGAATGAAGAATGCAATTTCTGTTGCAATTGAGCTTAAGCATGCCACTCTTTCTTCTGTGCAGTTGTATAGTAGTGACCCAAGTATGGACAATTACGGTCAATCAGAAAAAGGAAAAAGAACTTCAATTTTCAGCTTTAGACTGATAAAATTTGAGTTGCAGTTACTAAATGCTAATGTGTTCCTTTTGTAGATTGGTTTAAGAGCCCTGTTTTGTTCTAGACAGTAAGTTAGGTAACATTGGATCTTGTCAATGCAACCACAATTAAGTTTAGAAATATGAGATATTGCCGTCCGTATCCACTGCTTCTTGGAAGCAGAAACTTGAGCTAGGGGTGAACTATACTATTTCAATGATACTGTACAAATAAGGAAACAAGAACAATGAAGGTGAAGTTAGGTGTAATTTTTGCACTGAATACTCTCTTAATGCGATTTCTGTAGCTTCTTTGTCAAGAGTCATTGCACAGAATTCATCTTTCATATGTTTTTTTTTAATACAGATTGGAAGTTATATCAAGTGTCGTGCGTAAATTTGTATGCATGAACATAGTAACCAGAAAAAAAAAAAAATTCAAATTGCTTGGTTCTTCATTTCCTTTTTGCTTATGACTGACATATTGTACTTATACTCTCTAGTAAATCCCGTCCGAAGGATGGGCAAATATGGAGTAATTGGTATGCTTTTGGAGTACTTATGTGTATGCCTCGATTTTGTGAATTTTGTCACACAGTTTAGTCCTTTTCCTTTCCTCTGATAGTAAAGTTCTTCTTTTCCCTAAAATATATTCGTCAGTGTATTACATTTATTTTCTGAATAAGTGGAGACTGACAAGCATATAACTTCACTTTTATCCTTGTTAATAAGAATCTAAATTCTTAATTATGACTAGCAGGTGAATACTTCTCTTAAGCGTAAAAGGCGAAGCAAAATATTGGTCTATTTCTAAATTCTGAACTAAACATATCAGAACTGTAGATGATTTTGGGCCTTCTTTAGAATTAAGAAATAGCAACCAATTGAAGTTCTTCAACATTCTTATGTGTCAGAGCTTACATTTGTGCTTTCAATTGTTGAACAGTTTCTGTATATTCTATTTTGCTGCGTTTGTCAGAAGCAGTAGGCACTTCTTCCTTTTAAACATGGATTTCCTTCTTAATCTAATTCCATTCTTTAAGAACCACAAGAGAGGATTTTGTTTTGTTGGACTCTCCTAGTAAGTTGAAAACTCTTATGTTGACTTTATTACTCTTTGTTGGATTGTTTAGTAGTTCTTGTCGTATTTTTTTTTTTTTTTTTTTTNGATCCAATTCTGTAACTGCTCTGGGTCTTGTCATTCTATAATTTTTTTGATAGTCGGCATCACCTATAATTTTGAATATTTTTTTCTGGGAAGACCACCAGTAAGAAAAATAAAACAATGATTTGTTTTAACTCCTTTCTCTTTTCAGAAATGTACTTGTGAAAGGAGGTGACCTTCCTGCATCATCCGATGCTGTCGATGTCCTGTTCGATGGTATGCTTCGCTTATCTTTTGCATGGCAAAGGAAAAGCTTCTCATATTCCACTTATTTGGATTTGTATTGATGCACGTAGAAACACATATTATTTCGCCACCCAGGTCAGGAGTTCCATGAGTTCCGCTCAGCCCGAATAAGGACTTCAAATACCCATGGAACTGGCTGTACTTTGGCTTCATCTATAGCTGCTGAGCTAGCTAGAGGTTATTCAGTGTTCTCTGCTATTAAGGTAGTATCGTATTTTTTTGTCTTTTATTGTCAAAGCATCTGTTAATGTTTGAGGTGTAACACACTAAAATGCTTTCTTTGTCATTTTCCTAGCTCCATTTATTCACTTGGGCTATTGGTTTTGAAACAAAACTAATTATTAGGTGGCCCATGATGTCCATTGACTGACGTTATTAGATATGATAATCCACCAAATAAACCTGTCCTCTGAAAATCTCCTTCTAGTAGAAGTATGTCAATTTCCTTGTGTGTCCCTAAGCAACACCTTCGGCAGAGGATACCAAGTAACCTTTGTTGCACACATTTTGCTTAGTTGAAATAATATAGGTGTTGAGAAAGAAGGAAAAGGGAGATGCATCTTTTGTATATATGTTCTTCTGATGCTACTCGTTAAATGTGTGCCCTTCATTTTTTTTATTTTTTTTTTTCAGGTTGCCAAGCGCTACATAGAATCGGCCCTCGATTATAGTAAGGACATTTTGATTGGGGGAGGTCGTCAAGGTCCCTTAGACCATTTATTGAAGCTTAAGAATAATGCCCTGCCGCATGCTGGTCGGCTTTTTGATCCAAATGACCTTCTCCTGTATGCTGTCACGGACTCAAGGATGAACAAAAATTGGGGTCGTCCCATGAGTGATGCCGTGAAAGCTGCTGTAGAAGGTGGCGCTACAATAGTTCAACTAAGGTTTTCATTTAAATGCATTATCTCTCTTTCCTTTTTCCCCTTTTCTGTTTGTGCTTTATTTTCTGATTGCATTCATATTTGTCTAAGAGTAAAATCGTAACGTGTGGTGCTAGTTGTTTGGTTGTGCGACTTGGTTTTGTCAGAATTATCTGCTTGCTGAACTCAATTGCATGCTCATGTCATTGACTAAATGAGTGTTTGCTATCAATTGTAATAACAACAATAATAAAAGATTTTAGTTGGAAAAGATTACATGTTTAAAAGCCTAAAAAGTAGCACCTGCCATTGATTGCTGTTGATTCTGCTCCATCTAATCATATGTATGGTGCTTTAGATATTTATTATTCTCCCTCTAACAAAACACACCTCCTCTCGGTTTTCCTATAAAACCAGATAGAGCTCCCTTATGTAGCCATATTACTTACATGACATCTATTAATACAATACACATCTAATTTGATTTTTCCTATAAAACCAGATATGGCTCATTGTATTGCCCTATCTGATTTTACAGAGAATTGGCAACTCATCTTGCAAATTCTCTCAATCAAAATTTCAGCTTCTAATGACAAACACTGCCAACCTCTGATTCTCAACTCTTCACTCCCTCAGCATAAAAAATCACTTCTTCTATCTTGCAGAGAGAAGGATCTCGAAACTGGGGATTTTCTAGAAGCTTCCATGACATGCCTCCGAATATGCCGGGCCCACAACGTGCCTTTCCTCATTAACGACCGTGTAGACATCGCCCTTGCATGTGGGGCAGACGGGGTCCACATAGGCCAGTCGGACATGCCAGCTCGTGTGGCCCGGGCCCTCTTAGGCCCGGACAAAATCATCGGTGTCTCGTGCAAAACTCCCGAGCAAGCCGAGAGAGCGTGGGCAGATGGGGCCGACTACATTGGGTGTGGCGGAGTTTACCCGACAAAAACGAAAGAGAACAATGTTAGTGTGGGATTGGATGGGCTGAGAAAGGTTTGCTTGGGTTCGAAGCTGCCGGTAGTGGCGATTGGGGGGATTGGGGTTTCTAATGTGGGGTCTGTTGTGGGGCCCGGCCTGCCGAACCTGAGAGGAGTTGCGGTTGTGTCGGCAATTTTCGACCGGGAGTGTGTTTCGAGCGAGGCCCGGAATTTGATGAAGGTGATATTGGACTCGATGGATGGTGCTAAGTGAGGGGCTCATCATTCATTGCTGTTATATGTTATTATTATTATTGGTATTGTTATTGGTGATTGCAATTTGCTGCAAGTGTTGGTTATTTTCGTTTTGAAGGTTCGTGCTGAAGCTGTTTTACTTGAAATAATACTTTTTTTTTAAAGGTATCGTGGTTTTGTTCTTCTGTGCATGTGGAACTCCGACTCGCTATTGGTATCTATATTTTTTGTTTTCTCTCTTCAATAGAGGAAAAAGGGAGAAAATAAAGAAACTGTTGGAGTGGGGCTAGGGTTGTAGTAAAATTACGTTTATGTATAAAAACCTGAAAACAAGGATGTGTATGAATAAAAGCACTTGATTTATGTATCTATTTTTTAATATTATATGATACTATCATTTTCACAAATGCTAATACAAATTGTGTGGCTATTTTTAATAAAATTCGTCCTGATTAAAAAATAGCACCAAACACAATTAAAATTATAGTACTACGCACAATTAAAAATAACGGGTTCTTATGATTCTCACAATAAGACTTAGTTCTCATTTGAACGACATTCTATGTATATATACTAGTGGGATATGCAATTGTGCGGCCTCAATTAAATCTATAATTAAGCGTAAAATTAAGAATTCAGTCGTGTCTACTTTAATTCATAAGTAATTGTATAATTTGAGTATTCGCAACTGAATTTTATAACTTTAAAAGAGATTCCAATCAACCTCTCCTTGACACATCAAAAACCTATTCTTTTTTTTTTTTTTTTGACANTATACAAGTTAAAGCAAACAAATAATTACTCGCTGACCTTTCTATGTATTCATATCAATTTTATTATCTCATTCATAGATCAAGGGGAGTTGGCGGCTTGCGATCATACATGATACATATATATAACAAATGATAATGGCCTGTAAGTGAGACTTTATTTTAATATCATTGTGCTATCTGTTAAATATGTAAATATTGAGATTGTACTATAAGTTAGGTTTAGGCTAAGGCTCATATGTGTATCTATATATATGTGTACTCCTCTTTGTGAATATTATTATTAGATATTTTTCTACATTCTCACATGGTATCAGACTAGGGTTATATATATTCACTTGTGGGTTTTCGTTTTCCCGTTCATCTGCGGCCATCGTTGACTCTCACCGCCCCGACCATCTTCTCCGGCGTCCAACGGCGACCAATCGCCGAAAATTTCAGACCGATTGGCGGCGCGTGGGCCCCACACGCGCCGGTTCTTTGCGACGGCGCCGGCAGCTCTCGCCGGCGCGTGAGGTCCACTCCGGCGTCCGATTTCTCCCGTTTTTCAGGCGTTGACTCGTCTCGTCGTCGGCTACGTCCTGGTGTGGTCAGTTTTGGTTTTCGTGAACTTTTTTATTTCCTCTATTTTTGTGCTATTTTGACGGTTTCGTGATCCGATTTCTGCCTATATTTTCATCAGTTTCGTGTTATTGTGTTGATCTGCCTTTTGGATATGGATCGTATGGATTTGCATTCTCCTATTAGTGTTGTCTTATCAGGAGACAATTATAGTCTTTGGGCACAGTCTATGAAGAGTTTTTTTAATTGGGAGAAAATTGTGGCGGATTGTGACTGGTGATGTGTTGCCACCTGTACATCCGTCTGTTTCTGGGGATGCCAACCCCACACAACAGGTTCTTACAGCTTACGTCGATAAGTTGGAGGATTGGGATAGTAAGAACCATCAGATTCTTACTTGGTTACGTAATACTTCGGTCCCTACTATTCAGGTGCAGCTTGCTCCGTTTGACAGTGCAAAGGAGGCTTGGAATTTTTTGGCTGCTCGATTTCAGACTACAGGCTTGGCTCACTATTATCAGCTTTGGAGCACCTTGCATTCCACCAAGCAGCAACCGGGTCAATCTGTTAATGAGTTTCTTGCACAAGTTCAGCCTATCCGGTATCGTCTCCGACAGGCTGAGATTAGTCCGGATCACCTTGATCTTATCCAGATTTTGATGGCTCTCCGTCCTGAGTATGAGGCTGTTCGTGCTTCTCTCTTACACCATCATCCACTGCCTACTCTTGATGCTGCTATTCAAGAGATCACCTTTGAGGAGACTCGTCTTCAGTTGGCTAGGACACCACAACTTGAGTCTGCATTAGCTGTGCCTACTTCCGCTTCCGCTCCGTCGCATCAGCCTCAGTCTCCAGCCCGTGTTTATTGTCGGCTTTGCAGAAGTTCTAGTCACCATTTTTCCACTTGTTCTAAGGTGGAGTGCCATATCTGTCATGCTCTGGGGCATATTGCTCCAAATTGTCCAGCGAAGTCACAATTCGGGAGGTTCATTTTCTCGATCTCGAGGGTCTCGTGGGTCTTCTTCATCGACCCCTTCTGCTTCGGTTACAGCAGCTGTCACTAATGAGCCTCAGCACTCGTCTTATTCTCTTCAAGACATAGAAGCTATTCTCAAACAGGTTATCCATTCCAATTCTGCTATGTCTGCTACCGCAGGTAACCCTCATTGGTACTTTGATTCTGGCCGTTGCAATCACATGACCTCTAGTCCACAATTTTTGTCTTCCTCGTCTTCCGTCACTTCTTTACCCCCTATACATACTGCAAATGGTACCCGTATGAATATTACTCACACTGGTCTGGTTTCTTCCCCTTCTTTACATCTTCCTGACACATACTGCATTCCTGATATGGCCTTGAATCTTATTTCTGTAGGTCAATTGGTTGAACAAGGTCTTAATGTTCTATTTGTTGGGTTCGCTAGTACCGTACGGGCTGTACGCAGCGGAATTTAAAATTTTTCAAGTAAATATTTATCGTATAAATACAACACCCGTACATACTAATTGCGAATTAGCTGATCGTCATCTTTAAAACATGCATCATATACAAATTTTGATTTGTTACTATAAAGTAAATACTAGTAAAAATATTTACCGAATGTCTTGAACTCCTTCACTATTGATGATGGATGAGGAAATCGGTTCCCGGTTGTAACTTCAACTGCTTGAGGTTACTCGCTTTAGGAATCCAAGTGTCTTCCCTCTAAACGTATCCACCCTATGAAGCCCGGTTCCGACGACTTTCCTTCGCTAGTAGAAAAGACTCGGTTTTCTTGTATAGGAATATTTATGAATTTTTATTTAGGAATTTTCAAGAACTCTTTCTTGAATTATATGAAGAACACTTTCTTTTTCTTTCTAACACTTAGAAATTTTTAGGATCAAAACTTCTCTTAAATGCAAAACCATTTTGCACATATTTATACTAAACATTTTAGCATAAAATAATCAACATTTAGTAATATTTAAATAAAATCAAATTTTATTTAAATAATATTTACTAACTTTTGACTTTGAAAATAATAAGATATGTTAAGTAGTTCAAACAACCATCAACAACCATTTTATTATAATCACATTTATTATCTTAATCCTTAAATCATATTTAAAGATATAAATAATAATTGAATAATAAATCTTGAGAATCTTTCTCAAGACTTTGTTATTATATCATTTTCCCAATATCATATTATTATTATTTTGGATTTTGAAATTTAAAATCCTATTTTAAAATTCAACTTTATTAATTTAGTAATTACCTTAATTACTAAAGTAATATCCAAAATGTAATTAATCAATCTTATTGATTAATATATTCCTTTAATTGATATCTAACCAATTAGATATTTATCAATTAATTCTAACCATTAGAAATACAATCTTTCACCTTTGTTCATAATAGGTGTGACCTTTTAGATTCACCTTAATACTAGTAGTGGGTTTACAACACTTTGTAATTTGAGTTAAATCTAATTAACTCTTATTCTTGAATTAACTCTTTAATTCTAGAACCCACATATCATGGTAACACCTAGCAAGCAGCATGAATCTAGTATTAAGTGAATAGCGAGTAAACCTATTCCAATTACAACTCCATACATGTAAAATCCTTTCGACATCTAATTTCCCGATTAAGTCTTGGGTATGATTTTGTCGAAACCCAAATTGACTTAATAAGTATGATTCGATTTCAAATTTATTAACCCGTTTATGAATCACTATTCATCTCTGCCTTGGCCAAGGACTTTGGATTAATAACTATGAAATACATAGGAAATTCACTTATCTTCATAAGTGTCGAATCCTTTGTTGGCCACTAACAAACTTCCATACATATTAACATAATACCCAAAATATCCCTTTATACGATAGTGCTAGCTACCAAAAGGATAAATCAAA